CGGTACAGTTAATTATTCTAGTAAAACCGAATAGAGGAGATAACCAAAGGTCGGTTCGAATATTTCCAAAAAACAAAAAAAAAACGAAAACACGTGTGAGAAAGAAGAAACCAGAGGAATTAAAATCTGACAGACTTTTATAGTTTGCTTTAATATGTCTTCCCCAAATAAATCAAAAACATATAATAGAGAAAATAAAATAAAATAAAATAAAGTGGAACGCAAGTTGGAGTTTGGTTCTTTACGCAGGAAGGCTGTTAAATAACATCCATAGCTTTTAACTTGGAAACGAACCCAAAAACAAAAAATAATATCAGAGAATTTTTCATCATTACTTCTTTTGCCTTTGCCTTCACACGTCTTCTTGTTTGTACTCCTCTTCACTTTTTTCTTCTTGTTCTTGTTCGTATCTCTTCTTCTTCTTCTTCTAATCCCTGTGACTCTGTCACTATTATAAATATCAAAACTCTGACATTTTCTTCCTACTCAAAGTTCTCCTCGAAACTCTCCCACATAGAGCACGAATCGCAAATCTTTATCTTGAGATCTGAGAAGATGAAAACAAGACGTGGGAAACGTCCTGAGGTACACACACACCTACACAAGATCAAGATTCTCTTCTCTTTCTCATTTCTTCTTTATGTTTCTTTTAATTCTCTTTACTAATCTTTTCTTGGTTGTTTATGTTAAAAAAAAAACAGAGGTTTTGGCCTTCGATTGTCATGAATAAGTGGTTGAACATAAAACCTAAAGTTTACGACTTCAGCGAAGACGAAATTGATACAGAGCCTGAGAGCGAAGACGATGGTAATTTACCTTAAACAATTTGGTCAAATTTGGTATATAGTTTTTTTAATTTTTATTAATGTAAATTTGTGATGGGTCCTGTTTTGTTTATACAGTATGTTCCGTCAAAAACGTCCCTAATGCTCACTGTCCGACTCATGAAGACATCCATAATGGTCGTCTAGGAAGCGAAGCTGATCACGGCTGTACTATTTCAGGCAAAGATTCTTTATTTTCACCTTATTACAAAAATTATATATGAAATGAAATAAACAGACGAATTCTAATATTTTGTTTTTCTTGTTTTATTTTTATTTATTTTTGAAATCCTCTAGATAGTGGTGGTGGTGTGAGGGGTGGTTACCAGAGGAAACACCGGCGAGGCAAATCGGAGACTTTGAGAGCTCAATACATTAACACAAAGGATATCAAGTAAGGGTGTTTCTGTACTTTCTTATATCTTTTTATCCCGGTGAAAATATCTCTCTAACTTTATTTATGTATCGTATGGATAAAAATGAACTATATAGAGTGACGGTGGCTTCATGGAACGTCGCCGGAAAACGTCCCTCCGATGATCTCGAGATTGATGATTGGCTCTCTACTGATAACCCTTCAGATATTTACATCATCGGGTAAGTTATAAAAGTCACGTAACTCTTCTCTTTATTCTCTTGTTTCTCAAAAACAGAGTATTTTTCCTCTGTTTTGATGAATTTGACTATAAGTCTTTACTGATGTAAAATTTGTTTATAGGTTTCAAGAAGTGGTTCCATTAAACGCTGGAAACGTTTTTGGAGCTGAAGACAGAGGTCCTATTCCGAAATGGGAATCGATAATACGAAGAACATTGAACAAATCTCATAAAGAATCAATTTACGATCAACCACCAAGTTGCAACAACAACGTTCTTCATAGATCTCACAGTGCCCCGTCGTCTCCTATCTTGGCACAACAAGCAAACTCCATTATCGCTGATGTCATGGTCGAGAATCTCGTTGCGGACCACTCGCTGGACTTGGCTACAAACGAGTTCATCGATGCTGCAACCGCTTTACCGAGTCTTGAACCAGAGCGGAATCCTAACATGGACTGGCCGGAACTAGCTTTAGATGGAAACCCTCAGATAGTTGGATCAGAAGGGAAGCTAAGGAGGGTGTTTAGCAGCAACGCGATGCTAGGGTTTAAGCTACCGGAGAATCCAGCTGGAGCTACTAGGTTTGCTTCGGAAGCAAGAGAGTTGAAGCGGTCACGGAGCTTTGAAACGTTAAAGTTGAGTTGGAATGATCTTAAAGAAGAGAATGATAATAACTCTTCCTCTTCGTCCGAAGCCGAAGAAGCTGCCAAAACTCTGTCTGATGATTCATCAGACGGAGATTCGTCTTCCGATGATGACGAGGAGGAAGGTGACAAGATTAGAAATAGTTACGGATTGCCGGAAGATTTGGTCGAGGAGTGTCGGAAGGTGAAAGATAGTCAAAAGTATGTAAGGATAGTAAGTAAGCAGATGGTTGGGATCTATGTATCGGTTTGGATCCGACGACGGTTAAGAAGACATGTTAACAACTTGAAAGTCTCTCCCGTCGGAGTTGGCTTGATGGGTTACATGGGAAACAAGGTAAGAAAAAAAACCTATCTTCTTTACCAAGTAACTCCAATATAAAAATATTCTAGCACTTGCTTGATATATTTGATATGTTTGTAGGGATCAGTGTCGATCAGCATGACATTATATCAATCACGAATGTGTTTCGTATGTTCACACTTAACTTCCGGCCACAAAGACGGTGCTGAGCAACGCCGTAATGCTGACGTGTACGAAATCATACGTCGGACTCGTTTTGCCTCGGTTCTTGACACTGATCAACCAAGAACGATTCCATGTCACGAGTAAGCAATAATCATGATTACAAAATTACACAAACATTAAACTATTAATTTATTTATTTTACTAATTGGATTTCTATGTCGGAAAATTTCAACAGTCAAGTATTCTGGTTCGGAGATTTGAACTACCGGCTTAATATGCCAGACAGTGAAGTAAGAAAGCTTGTCGCACAAAAACGATGGGATGAGCTTAAGAACAGTGATCAGGTTCGATTTAGTTTTGATAGTACTTTCAACTTTGTAAGTTTGTTTTCATATTATAGGCTGCTTTTAAAAGCTATAATATAACACAAAATTTCAATTTAATGTAACAGTTGATTAGAGAATTAAGAAGAGGGCATGTTTTTGATGGATGGAGAGAAGGAGCGATTAAATTCCCTCCGACCTATAAATACGAATTCGATTCCGATCGTTACGCAGGAGAAAACTTGAGAGAAGGAGAGAAGAAGAGAGCTCCTGCTTGGTAAGTGACTGAGAAAAAGAAAATTTAATGGTTACAAAACTTAGGTGATGATTCTTAAATTTGTGTGTGTGTGTGTATTATTTACCAGGTGTGATAGAATATTATGGCTGGGAAAAGGAATAAGACAAGAGTGTTACAAGAGATCGGAGATAAGGATGTCCGATCACCGGCCAGTGACTTCGATATTTAACGTCGGAGTTGAAGTTTTTGATCACCGAAAGCTTCAAAGAGCTCTTCACGTTAATAACGCCGCTGCTTCAGCTGTTCACCCTGAACCTTCTTTTTGAGGCTAATTATGTCTCTTCAAAAAGATTAATAATTTTTATCCACTAATTTTTGTGATTTATTTTTTATTACATGGGAATATTTATTTAGGGGTTTTGATTTTTTGTTCTTGTTATGTAAAATCTAACAAAAGTCTTTTTACAGTTTTACTTGTCTATGTATACGATGAGCCTTTAGATGGTTTAGTATTTTTTTTGTTGTTGTATAACAATACTGAATAGTGAATACTTAACTTATATTTAGTTGATCCAACTCTTAAAAACCATTTGACATTTACATAACAGATGCTCGAGGAAATTTAAAAATAAATTAAATGTCAGATCATTTTTGATGACAAGAATGTTCCATCACCGCAGGTGACTTTGATATTTTAACGTTGGAGTTGAAGTTTATGATGACCGGAAACTTCAAAGAGCTCTTGACGTTAATAACGCCGCTGCTTTAGCCTTTAGCTGGTCATCATGAACCTTCTTTTTGAGTTTATGGCAAAAGATTAATAAATTATTAAGGAGTTTCTGTGATTTTTTCCCCTACACATGGGAAGATAAACAAAGTTCGAAAATTATCTATGTATTTGGGGATCCCATGAATTTGAGACAACTTTTGGTGTAATAATTTTACTTTCTATATTCTAATAAATGTTGGAAAATTTCATCCTCCAGTTTATTACCAATAAAAATATGAACCGGAGGAATATATATTCTAATAAATCTATTCACGTTATTATAGATTTCTCGTTGTGAATTTTTTTGCCATTAGCGACAGTAAAATATTTAGTTATATTTAATTTGGATTAAAATTATTTTTTTTTTTATAAAAATTTTATCAGTAACAGAAAAACACAAAAACAGAGAAATTCCCTAGATATCGCACTTTTTATGTTTTCCCCGAAATTACAACAATTTGTTTTTTTACAAAATATTACAAAATTTGATTTTTGAAGAGGTAGAATTTTGTTTTTTTGTTTTGTTTTATATTTGGGTTTAATATTTATATTTAAGCTATAATTTTGAGGGGTAAGATTTAAAAATGATTTTTTTGAATGTAAAAATTTACTTTCTGTGTAGTGATATTTTTAGAAAAATGTATTTTAGTGGTATATATGAAAAATAATACTAATAACAGAATTTTTGAAAAATACTTAATTCCCAAAAAATGAATTTATAAATTTTTTAATTTAGAATCCAGGAAAAGAAAAAGAAATAGTAATGATTTTCTCTTCTTCTTTTTTGTTACAAAAATGAGAAAATGGCCATATTTTTTCCATGTAATAACTCTATCAACAGAATCGTTGTTTACTAAAGGTAAAAGAAAATTTGGACATGAATGGTAAATTGTGTGAAAACTATGACTAGTGAGAGCTGACTTACTATAGTAAGAAAATGGCCATTTTTTTTCCATTTTAATTCCAATGGCTCAAATTTAAATAAGAAAAATAACGTTATTTTGCAGCGCGAGAGAGAAAAGCCCCTTCTTGCTTCCGTACGGATCAATACACGATTCAGTGATTGGAAAGAAAAACCCTAGGTTATGGAGGAGCAGATCCTCACCGATCTGGAGAGGACTATGAAGACGGCGACTCTGGCGGATCCCGACCCCAATTCCAATCCCAATCCCAATTTGGAGCAGAATCAACAAGGAGTGATGACTAGAATCAACAGGTTTGAAGAAATTTATGTGTTTTGACTTTGCAAAACCCCGTCGATTGATGCAAAATATAGAAAGCTAACTCGCTAACTGTTTTCAGAACCTTGACGACGATGTTGGTGGCTAATTCCGACGTTTCTTCATCGATTCTGCCTCGTCCTCCGTTAGTTCCCAACTCGATCGAAACCTTAGATGAAAATGAGAACGAGTCTTCTTCGCAAACCCCGTCGATTGATGCAAATGTTGTGAATCTTCAGTCGTTGGCTCTTACGTCTCCGGATAGTGATCGCGATAATCATCATTCGCCTCCGAGCCTAGAGGAGTATACATCTCCGTCATCGGACGAACTCGTTCCTTCTCCGATCGATTTGGATCACGATGAGTTCGGTAGTGAGTCTGAACGCATGGTAGAGTCTCAGGTTCGAATCCGGAGTACTTCGCAAGCTGTTGACGATGTTATCTTGGACGGCTGCTCGTCTGATGATCCACGGGAGAGTAACCGAGATTGGACGCCTGGTTATGGAAGTGATGATGAAAACTCTAAGAAGGGATGTAGCGAAACCTTGTTGTCAGGATTCACGCTAAAACCTCTGAAGATCGATGAGCCGGTTACTGGTGTTGTATGTTCTGATTTTGGTTTCAAATGTTGGTTCTCTTTTGGTTGCATTGTTTTTAATTTTGATCTCTGAATCCGAATTTGACATTCTGTAGGGTGCTGGGCTTTGGAATTTAGGCAACACTTGTTTTCTTAATTCGGTGCTGCAGTGTTTCACTCATACTGTGCCACTTCTCAAGAGCCTTCGTTCATACAAATATCAAGTTCCCTGTAACTGTAAGACTCTTAATGTAGTAGCTTTTGATTTGTCTATGTTACCTTATAATGAATAATGATCATATGCATCCTTTGAATTTGTAGGTGGTAATCCCTTCTTCTGTGTTTTAAGGGCTCTTCGAACTCACATTGAATTTGCACTGAGGCCTGAAAGAACGCCAATGGCTCCGGAATGTTTTCTTCACTATCTTAATTGTATCCTTTGTTGAATTGTTTTATATCTGTCAATGGTTGTAGTCTTAAAGTTTAACAATTTTTCTGGATATGTTTCTTTGGATGGCATAGTTTTCTTTTCTTTTGGGATTCTCTGATTTTGTTTATGAAATGCATTGATTTATCCTTAGCTGCCACAGACTTTTCGCCTGGATTCCAGCGTTATCAACAAGAAGACGCTCATGAGTTTCTCCAAGCATTTTTGGATAAGTTGGAGAGATGTTGTTTGGATCAAAGAAGTTATCGCCAGTATGTCTCTTCTCAAGATGTCAACATTGTTGATCAGGTCTTTGGTGGTCGTCTTATTAGTGGGGTAAGAAGTTCACTCAAACTACACATTTGGTCAAGTGGTAAAGCTATTTTCATTTTGTGTTTCAGTTTGATTTTGGTAAGCATGTGCGCATTTCTGCTTTCAGCTCCGTTGCTGCAACTGCAACTTCGTCTCTGAGACATTTGAAAAGTCTGTTGGGTTGAGTTTGGAAATTGAAGACATGGATACCCTTGAGGATGCACTGGAATCCTTTACCTGTGTGGAAAAGCTTGATGAGCAATTGACCTGTGATAACTGTAATGAAAAAGTTTCAAAGGAGAAGCAACTCTTGCTTGATCAGCTTCCTCTGGTTGTCACATTCCATCTAAAGAGATTCAAGAATAATGGATTGTTTATGGAAAAGATCGTCAAGCATCTCAAGATCCCATTGGAGTTAGACTTGCAGCCATATATGAGGAATATCCAGGAAAAAGACGTACGTGAAACTTGCAGTAAACTATCTCTAATCTCCTTTTCATTTACTAAAATATTGTAAATATCTGCACATTTGAAAGTTGAAACCCACTTCATTTATTTCTTCTTCTTCAGGCTCCTACAACATACCATCTTTATGCTGTTGTGGAGCATCTCGGGTGTACATTAGCTCAAGGACATTACTCGTCTTATGTGAGGTCTGCTCCCAAGATATGGCATCAATTTGATGACGCCAAGGTGATATTTTTAGTAATTCCAGTTGATTTGGGTGGTTTAATAGATAGTTTCCATAAATGAAGTTTTCCTTGTTGTGTTTTTGACAAACTTCGGCAGGTCACTAGAGTCGATGAAGATAGTGTGCTGTCACAGGATTCCTATATTCTTTTTTATGCACAAGAAGGAACTCCCTGGTTTTCTAGCATCGCTGAAGATATGCAGCCATTGCTTCCATTGCTTGAAGCGAGTTTACTGAATTCTTCGCCAAAGTCTGTGCTTGATTCTACTAACAGGGAGTGTTTATCAGAGATCATGTATGAGAATGTCGATAAAACCAGCAAACCCTGTGAACCAGCGGGAGTGTCTAACCAAGATGTCAAGACAAAAGAAGATTTTGTATCCCTCCCTAACGAGCTAACTGGAGATTTGTTTCTATCAGCAGAGTCTTCTAGTGATGAGGACCCGCTTGAGACTGATGATTCTTACAATCCATGGGCTGTGAAAGAACCAGATTGTGATTTATATGAGATGCTGCTACTTATGGCTGATCCCGATACCAATTTGGAGCAGAATCAACGAGGAGCGATGACTAGAATCAACAAGGTAAGTTCAGATTCTTGGATAAGGGTTCCGTTGTTTTAAGTTTATCTCAGGTTTGAAGAAGTTATGTGTTGAATTTGCAAAAGTCAGTGTCGTTATCTAGCAGCTCTAGTCCAGATATACACTGAAAATTGAGTATCTTCTTGGCTTTGGCTCAAACGGCGTTGTAAGTTCAGTATATAGAAAAGAAAGTTATAATCAATAAGATGGGTAATCTTTGTTGTTATTTTTCAGTTAAGAATCAAAAGCAAACTTGCTAAAACTCGCAATGGAAGCAGTAGTGAGACTGAGGAGAATCAGGAATGGAATGACAAGTATCTTCAAGAGCGTGGTATAAGGAAATCTGTGAAAAAGGAGATCAATGACACAGAACCGTGCAGCAAGATTTTTGGTCACACAACACTTGATAATAATAAGAAATACATGCTTTGGGAGGTTGCTGAACAAACACCAAGGCAGGAGCTGTTTGACAAGCATTGGAAGAGGAGATCAGGCTCTGTCCGAGATCAGAGATCTCACGGTTTTTATCTATCTAACTAGTTTGTTAACTAAGTATAAATAAATGTGTCTTATACCTAATTTTTTCTTTTTGGTTTGTAGATAATTGCTGGACATATGCTGGAACGGATTTGTTTAGTGCTTGGCGTCTAATCAATAAAAAAGATGAAGAGTTCCGCACTTTTAGTGCAAGATACCTAACTTTTTATGCTAGCAAGATGATGCGGTGGGTAGCATCAACTGAGAGTAAAAGAAAGAAGAGTCACCACTGTCATGGGTTTACAATTGCTAAGACGTTACAGTTCATACAAGAGAATGGTGTCCCAGAAGAGGATCCTGCAGATTCTGAAAGGGATTTCAGTTGCATCACAGACGCTCCAGAAGAAAACGCTTCAAATATGTACAAGATACCCGAAGAAGTGGAAATTCGTGTATCTGACAAATTAGAAGATTTATATGAGATGCTACTGGATCAACCAGTTGGAGCAGACCTTCACTTTTTTCACCCGGAATTCAGTAATATTGGCTCAGTAAGTTTTAACCACTTTTAAATCTATTTCTTTTATTTTGGTGTTACACCAGTAACGAAACTTTCTGTTTGACTGATGTACAGGACATTTATGAAGGGCCTAAAAGTGAGATCTCTATTTATAGTGAACTACACACTGTGCTAATCGTCCGAGTTAGAAAACATAAAGGAAAACTGGTGGCTATTGTTAAGTCAAGCCATGGTAAAGGAAAAGGGAAAAAAGGGTACATGAAGGTTTCACTCACAAAAATGGTTCTAGGTATAGGAAGAGATAACGAAATAATGTCTCCATCCTTCCTACTTACTAACTTCACATGTCTAGTAATACCAAGAGCTCTGGACAAACCAAAATCAGAGAAAGAGATAAAGAAAAGGAAATTGGGTTCTTGTCGTCTTCCTGAGGTTGATCCGGAGACCTCAGTTCAGGTCAGCTCGCTTGATTCTACATATGTGTAATGTGTTCTGATGATGCCTAAAGTGTATTGTGCAAGATTTGGATTATGACTTGTTCTGATATCTTCAATGCATATGGAGAAAAGTTGCTGGAAGAACCTTATTTGGAAGCAGTGGACGATTTGGTAAGTTAGATTTCTTATATCATTATTAACTTTTGATTGGCTGTGGATAATTAACAGTTGCTATTCCATGGAATATTAAAAAACAGCTGTTGCAATTGCTAGTGGAAGCTTCTCCACAAGACAAGAAGTTTGTATGTGAAGAAGCAGACAAAGCGCTAAACACGATGGTTAACTCAGTGGCTCGCTTGCCTCTTTTGCGTAAGCTCCAAACTTATGTCTGCCAGAGAAACCCTTGTGTCAGGGCCAAAGCAGCTGTGTTTACTTCCAACTGCGTTTCTAAAATGGTATCCCTAATTCTTCAAAATGTTTTAAATTGGTAAGAGCAAAGGTACTTTTATAACATTGGATTTGTGATTTGATATTTTTCTCTACATGTCAGGAGCTAAGTGAAATTGAAGAATTTGGGATGGTTCTGATCGTGCAAATGGCTGCGGATCTGTTGAGTGACAAGATGCCAGAGGCAAGGGAAGCAGCGAGGAGTATGGTCAACTCTGTTTACAATAAATTTACATGCAATGGAGAGGAAAAAGAAGAACAAGGAAATAGAAAAGAAGCTTGGCAGAAGTTCTGTGAAAAGAATGTGACAGGGCCCAATGCACAAGCCATGGTCAAGATCGTCTCATCTCCATAAATTTCTAAAGAAGAAATATACAAGAATACGTTTTCACATGATATAACAATCGTTCTGTTTCCCCTGCTCTTACTGTGTAACTGTCCTCTGAATTACACAGTGTTTGTTCCACGAAAAATTGCTAATCAAGCTCCACGAAATGTCGTCGTTGTGGCCTCATTGTTGTGTGGGTGGGATAAACAACCCCAATATTAAAATGTTTATGTGGACGTAGAATCTTTTTAAGAAGATATCAGGTTGTGGAGGCCCAATAGGCCCATAAATGAATGAGGATGTTGTATTTTTATGGCATCTAACTTGTGTGGAAACCTAATCGACTAAACTAAAAAACTTGAGAAGAAAGCATCAGCCGCTGGATTCAGAAGTGCAAAGTTGAGGAATGGATGATTACATCATGGAGCAGCTGGTGTTTTGGACTCAAGTCGGCAAATCCGATGTAATTCTTCATCTTCTTTATTGATTGATAGTTGAGTTTGGTAGGTGACGTGTCGGTTGTGCTGTTTCATTGGAGAGATACAAAGATGACGGGTCATTGTGTTATTGTGTCTGTTTGTTTCTTATATAAACATATATGTACCGTGGATGTAAGATAACAAGTTTCAGTTCAATAAAACTCAGTTTTTTTCATGTCTTTTTTAATAGAAGAGACAAAAGGTCTCTTGCTCTGTTTTTTTCTTCTTCTCTCAATAGTTCCAACATTCTTAAATCCGCAAACTGTGTTCTATTATTGTTTTTGGTTAAACTGTGTAATGTATCCGATATAATTAGTATTTGACTACTAACTTAAATTTTTTTTTTTTAATTGTCAGGGGTTTGATGTTGAGCATTTGATGGACACAAAACCATCGAGTTGTTCGCTCAGTACGCGCAAGTTTGAAGATAATGATGATTACCCCACCATGATCGTCCTCCCTGCTAGGTTGGGGATCCACAAGTACAATATGATACAGGTGAAAAAACTTGTCTCCTCTTGTATGTATGAATATATGTATAATTTTCTTCGATTCTCTTATGCAGTTCTTGTTGTTGACATGTATCAGGGGACTAACCTGCAGCTCAGTTCCATAGAGAAATTGAATAAACGATCTAGCGTAGTATGTTGTTGTTACTATATAACCCTGGTTGCAAAGGATCCAGCTTCAGGCGGTTCCCTTGTATCTTTTCAGACGAAATTTGTTGACGAAGGCTTTGACATCAAGGAACTGACTTGTCCTATTGCTCGACTTAAGTACGGACCACGAGGTAAAAGTGTTTATTACATAAATCGGGCTGGTGAAAGTCCACCTTTCAGCTCCTCCTATCGTACTTACCATTTAGACCCCTTGTATGTGTTTATGCCTTTCTCCCTCCTTTAATGTAGAGTGTGACACTTATCATGTGTAGATAACTCCGAGGAAGAGGAACCCGAAGATGATTGCTACCAACTTAAATTGCCTGATGAGTGGCCTTCTGAGGATGTTTTCAATAATAAAAAACGATTCTACGTGGTAAGATTGACATTTTCACCTTTTCTGCTTTTGCCTATGACTCTTCAGTAGTGATGTGTTTGCTTTCTCAGATGAAGAAATCAGAGCTACGGAAATATGATTGGGTTCGCCTGTACATGGAAATCTCATTCTACAACGCGAATATGATACTTAAAAATGTAAGTATTTTTGTTTTTTCAATGACACTCCATGAGTGGCTCTGATCTGTTGGTAAAAATTACAGTGTTCCACTCTTTGTTGCAGCTTGATCTGTCGAAATTGGTGATTATGAAGGTAGCGGTAGAAACTGAGGAAAACGTGGAACCGCCTAGTGAGAGACTCAAGGCCAGAAATGCAGTTTTCTACATAAGGTACAGGTACCATCCTAATAAGGCTCATGGTAACAAGCTTCCCCGTGATCGCGTAGCTATAGTAAAAAGAACAATCGACAAGAATACCGGATCCCTCACTCTACAGTTCGATGGCAGGCTTTCAAAAACTCTTCTGTAAGTCAGTGACTGCTGGCATTAGGATGGGCTCTCCAGTCCTACTCTTATTATGAAGCTTGTAGTAATTTATAACCAGATCCATTAGAAAATGTGGATCACATAATAAGCTCTCAACAGAACTTTGTACTTCATATATCTTCCAACAAAACTCACATACATAACTATTTTTGTTTGTTATTTCCGTCTGTTGATGGCCTAATGTGATCATCTTGTGGTCTTCAAATTGCACGATCTGTCTCAAACTAAAACAATGCAAAATAAACCTCAGATCATATCCAACAATAAAAATCCGGAGCTGTAGCTACAAAGTTTTTTCTGTGGCAAACCCTGACTATTATTAGACACAAGGAAACTTTTGGCAAGTTTATGGGCTAAGAGCTTTTTTTGGCCATAAATATGATTATGATGCAGACATTGAGAAAGTATAATCAAGTTAGTAAAAGAATGAGCTATCTACGTTGGTTTTTAAGGTAGCTACATCGGTGCTGAAACATTTTCAAGTCTTGTTTTGATTGAAGCAGATAAGAGAAGTTTGTAGCATCACTTTAAGCCTCAAATGTCTTGTTGTATGTTACTTTGCATAAGATTTGTCTGAAGAATAAAGAAAACGGTAAGTGCTGGCTCATGATAGTTTGTACTTGGTTTTGAATTAGCGAGGGATGTGGAGGCCCAAATGTCAGCTGCAACTGCATGCAACTTCGTATCTGAGACATTTGAAAAGTCTGTTGGGTTGAGTTTGGAAATGTCTTCGGGTCTGCTAACAGAAGATTTGTTTTTATCAGCAGAGTCTTCTAGTGATGAGGATTCTCGGATGCCAGAGCTTATGGATCCGCTTGAGACTGATGATTCTTACAATCCATGGGCTGAGAAAGAAACAGATTCTTGTTTAGCCATTGAAAGAGGGGTCTACCACTGGTGATGATTTCTATGAGATGGGCCTTTCTGTGGCTGGCAAGAAAAGTAGTGAGGAGAGGCATATGGCCCAGCGCGGACCTAGAAATAATTTTGACCGACGTCATAAAATAACTTATAAAATAACTTTTTTCACAAAGTATAGCATAATTTACATTTCAAAATAACATTAAAAAAACACTAAACATTTTTGTTAACATATAAACAATTGACATATTTATTTACAGTCAAAAAAATTATTAGTATATTTACGCCTAAAAAATAGTGATTTTCAAGAAATTAATAATAATATGCTAAAAATTATTAATTAATAAAAGGGAAAATGTATTATAAATGAAAATTGCTATTTGAACTTTGAATTAGGGGTGTCATTACCTAATAAATTGCCAAATTTATTATATATATATTTAAAGTTTTTATGTACGATAATGCATATTTATATATTTAATGGGATTAACATTCGTACTTTGGAAAATCAATCAACTTGAACTAACACTCGAGTTGTTGGAGAAGGATTGGAGAAAGGAAGCATGCCTTGTTATATGATTTTACCTTCTCGTTTAGTTGATTAATATACATCTGTTTTTAACTATTTTGTTTTCCGTTATCTTTCTAGATAACTGTTAGAGCTATGTAGTGACATATATCTTTAGTGCAAGGAGAATCATTATTAAAGAAAAAATGTCCATCACTGTCATGAGTGCTCTAACGCATATGCTCTTAAAATTATGAAAATGAATGGAGTTCCAGAGGGTGTCTTGTGGCCTCAATATCTTAAAATGGCTTAGCGATTTAACAGCTGAAAAAATTCTTTTTAATATCCATAAACTAAGAATTATTATTATTATAATAAATAAATTCATTGTATTTGTGCTAAACAATGACCAAATTTATTACACAAAATAAAATGTAGATTTATCACAACATGTCGACAAAATAGTATTTTATACAACTTAAAAATGGTACGAGAAACGCGCACTTCCAATTTTACCAATCATAAATATGAATGTAGGATGTCATTATCGAGAGTTTGTACTATATTTGAGAAACTTACTATATGATTATTTTTACGATAATCACATTTTCATTGTTAATTAGTAAAAGGAATTACCAAGTTTTATATATTCTTACCAGATTCTTGCTCTCACTCGTTTAATTCTCATAGGTTAAATCTTATTTTCCCTTAGTTTGAAATAACTTTACAGATATAAGCATTTGTGTTATGTTTTTTTTAGCAGTAAATATACTATTAATTGATTAATTTTTACCACCAAAATGAAGATTTCATTTTCATTATATGACAATGATTTTAGTAAATAGGATTTCACCGTTAATTATTATGTGGTTTTGAGTATATGCATATATAGGATTTTACTTTATTTTCTTTCATTAATCTTGATTTAATTAAAAATCTGGAATATGGTAAAAATTTGGTTGTGCATGGACTATTTTAAGATCCAATACAAAGTTAACATTTTTTTTTGTTCCACTTGGGAACACGTGAAAATATAAGTTGGAACCTTGTGATGTAAATCTGGTGCTTTCTTACCTATTTATAGAAGTTAGAATTCGGAGGAAACTTGTGAATAGATTATGCCATGTCATTTGACAAAAAAAAAAAAAAAAAAAAAAAAATTATGCCATGGTCATAGATGCAAATGTGAGAGGGGATAGATGAAACTAGCTTTGCTTTTATGATAAAGGCCGTTGGAAGATATGGGATGTGAAGGCCCAACTCAAGCCCATAAATGTATCCGTATATAATTAGGCATTAACCCCGCGCGAAACCTAATCAATAAGCCGAGCAAAGTTAGAGAAATTTCGTGACGATGGGAGAAGAAGACGATGACGATGAGAAAGTCACGGAGTTTTGGGTTCGAGTGGAGGAATCCCAGGTGATTCTTTCATCTTCTTTATCTTTTAGGTTGATTTATTTTATATATATAAAAGATATGTGTTGGTAGTATTTTATATAACTCCGGTTTTGATTGCATTTGATGGATCACCCAAACCCTAAACTGAATTCCTTTTTTCTGTCTGATAATTAAAAAAAAAAGGGGTTCGATGTTGAGCATTTGATGGAAACAAAACCAGAGTGGTGTTTGCTTCATTATGAAACTTCTGATTTCGACAGTGAAGTCCTCCTTTATGCTAAGTTTGGGATCCATAATTACAATATGTTACAGGTGAGATTGATTATATTTAGTCTCCCATCCTGATCTCTCTTGTTTTCTTTAATTTATTTCTTCTTTGCAATCAAATGATCCTTATTGTTATATGTATTTTCAGGGGAAAAATTTACAGCTCAGTTGCATAGAGAAGTGTAATACACGTCCCAACTATGCATTTTCCAGGTACTATATAACTTTGGTTGCAAAGGATCCGGCTGCTGGCGGTTCCTTTGTACCTTTTCAGACAAAGGTTTTTGAACAAGGCTGCAAGAACATCAAGACCCTGGCGGTTTGTATTGCAAGAGTTAAGTCCGAATCACAAGGTAAAGTGTTGACACGCATGACGCATTTATATCATCATAGAGTAACATACTTTATATAATCTTACTGACTCCTCTCCATTTATATATGACCCAATAGTTTCCTAGTAATAATCCCATATATATATATATATATATGTGCTTTAATGTAGTGTGACTTATTTTTTGTAGAGAACCCCGAGCTTCCTGGCTCTGTTTATGATTGCGCCCAAGTTAGTTTGCCTGATGAGTGGCCTTCAGAGGATTCTTTCAGTGATAAAAAACGATATTATGTGGTAAGATTGGCAATTTTGCTTTTGCTCATGACACAGTTCAATTGTGATTTGTTTGCTTTTTCTTTATATACATATACAGATGAAGAAATCGGAGGTGCGAAAACATGACTGGATCCGTCTATACATGGAACTTGCATTCCTCCATGCAAATACGAAGCTTAAAAAAGTAGGGGAACTTTCTTCCTTTTCAATGATACCTCCATTACCATTAGTGTCCCTCTCTTAGCTTATTACTAAGACTGTTTTGTTTCTAAATCTTGTTGCAGCCTAATCTGTCAAAACTGGTTATTATGAAGGTTGTGGTAGAAACTGAGGAAAATTTGAAGCCGCCAAATGAGAGACTTAAGGCCAGATATGCGGTTTTCTACATAAGGTACAGGTACCACCCTAATAAGGGTCGCGCTCCTAATAAGGCTCATAGTCACAAGCCTCCCCGTGATCGCGTAGCTATAGTAAAAAGAACCTTCGACAAGAAATTCGGATCCATCAGTCTCGAGTTCGATAGCAGGCTTTCAAAAACTCTTCTGTAAGACAGTGTCTGGCATTAGAATGGGCGGACTAGGCTCTCGAGTCCTAGTCTTAATTATGAAGCTTGTGGGCTCTCAAGTTTATTAACTTTTAACATTTGTTCTCACTGTTCTTTTCAGATGTTATTAATTTTAATCATTTTAGAAAATTTTGGTTGAGTTAATTACTGTTCTTGTTTGTTTAATAATTCAGTAAATTTGCTCTGTAGATATTTGAAAATATTTTAAAACGAAACGTAATGTTGTGAATAGATATAACATATATATGTCAAACATAATATCATATGAATACGTAAATCTATTTCATTATTGATTCAGACCGTAAGGGAATTGTTTCCTTAACGCGGCACAGATGGAAAAAAAAGCTCTGCAACAATTGCATCCATCTCTGTCTTTGAAGTAGTGCTTTCATTTTGCTTGCAGTATCTCTATCTAAACACAAAGAAGAGATCACAATTTGGTTCAGCATAGGGAGTTGTTGGGGTAAGAGAGGTGCAGTGGCATGCATATTATCTTTTGCATCAAGTTATATATGTATGATCAATTGAAGTTACATGTTTCTCTAACCAAAATACCTCTATGCAAATCTAAAACCAATGTCAAACTCAGAGAATTTCCTTCCACCAGCTAAATGCTTGATCCTTGAGCTTTCCATTACTCTTGTAAACATTGCTCTGAGATCACTAAAGCACACATTAGCAAACAAAGTTCCAAATTCCTCATCATCACTTTCAAATGAAACCAAATAGAAAACAATTTGTCCCTTATTCTCAACTTGGTTTGATTTTAAATACTAGCTCCGGTGATATCGTCTTCCTACACTTATAACACGTTCTTACTACACGTATACAATTTTGCTAGTGCCTCTCTCCACAACCTTGTTTACCTGTTTTTTAAAAACAACAAACTTTTAGAATAAGAGGAATCACTCTGATGTATATATGGATTTAGGTCACATTCATATCGTGTGACCTCAATCACATATGTTGACTAATAAAGTAGTCCAAGACGATTTGCAGACATCTCCCCTCTTCATGATACAATCCGTAAAACATCTAAAGCAAAAATAGGATAATGGTGATGAAATCAAGACTTGTTACACAAGTAATTTGAGCTAAGTTACTCGTAAACCCTAGAAAACAGAGCCCAAATTTGAGAACATTTTAAGATCGTGGAAGATTTTAATTAATCCTTCATATAATTGTTGTGTTCCTTTTGTATTTCAAGATCAATCTCGAGTGTGGTAATGCATTTGTTTTCCCACATGAGTAATCGTAATAAAACTTATAATTACAGATTTAACCACACATCTATCAAAGTATCAATATCATGTATGATAAATTAGCATTTGACGAAATTGAAATTTCCAACATTGACCAAGAATCAGACCGTAATTAAATAATAAAACGAAAAAGAGGAAAATGTTAAATTGGTTTTTGTTCTTCTTCACCGGTGTTTGGATTCATAACTTTAAAAAGTTTTTTCTGTTAATGATAAAGATGCGGATAAATAACAGTTATCATTCCTAATCAGTAATCACTTTTTTGTTTTTTTTACCTTTCTTACAAACTTAAACTATGGTTTTGTGATTATACAAGCGAACACAAAACATATATATGTCTCATAACTGTATTTATAATGAAGATGAAGCAATAATAGTCTTTATCTTTCTATTGATAATATATAGTACATTGTTTGACTTAGAAAAGAAACATATATGTATATTTTCTTTTGTCAATCGATAATTTAGAAACCTAACTATCTATATACTTATTGTCGGAATCGTGGACTAGGAAAACACACTTGTTGGCGAAAACGAGAACACGATCAATGACAAGTGTGGTGGGTTGGTGTATATTGATTTTTAATTTGATCACATCTTTATATAGCATATAATAATATACATCAACGTTAATATGATACAAAATGTATCATTGGTTGATGAGAATAGTGTATTTACGCCTTATTAGTTTTGATGGTCCTTGTTATCGGTTAGATCTACACATTTACGGTTTACAGGCAGGGCTGCAATTTTTTTTTGTTAAAGCAATTACAAAACTGAAATTAGTAAACAGTAACCACTAACCACACATATTCAAACGTATAAATATATGGCTCTTTAATTTGATATATATAAATTGGCCCCTATAAAGTGTAGTCAACATAGAAGATCCGTTATTCGTATTTCGTAGGCTAACTTCTTTTTGTTTTTGTGTTTTCCTACCATATGACGTAGTTATTCATGCTTTTATGCCTTTTTCTTTTTCCATTGTGTTCTCTCTTTAATATTACTGTTAGGAGTCATGGTGACCGTTCCTAAAGTATCGGGAGAAATTGAATATTCTAGCTAATGTATAGTATATATACAACTTCTTTAACCTATACATTTCCATCTCGTGAAGTCATTCGTTTTTTTCTTTCTTCAATCCCAAAATTCTCCTTTTGTGTGTTTATTTTCTTGAGTATGTTTCAGGGTATCGATTTCTAACACAAATGTGAACTAAACTTTAAACTACAACTTTACATGTTAAACAAATAATAGCGTATTTCCGGTAAAAAGGAAAACAATAAACAAAATTTTCTTTCGTCGACAAAGTTTTGTTATCTCTTCTAATCTTCGAAAATTGAAAGTGGTTATACTAATTAAAAAGCGATTTTGTCTTACTCTTTCTTACGTGGACGAACATAATCACACCCCTTTCAAAATACTCAAGAAAAATGTTTAGAGTATAGAATATGACCAAAAAAGATATCCCCGATCGAGTATTACCTTAAACTAAATTTCTCGTTAGATCAAAGAAATGAAAAAAGGTTTATTAATTATTACTCTGATATACAAGATTGATATACAAATAAACATATCTTTTAATTAACAAATCAAACCATATATTTATGTAGTTGAAATTTAGGAAAATAAGTTTTGATTAATTATAAGTTATTATGTGTGAAGTGTGAACAAGTCTATCAGCTTTTGAGACCATGGTAGGTCCATTTTCTTTTGGAATTTTGGGGACTCTTAAGACAAGCAATGTCTTTATCCCACTTTCGGTGTGTCTCTCTTATTTTTTTTTTCTTCTTCTCAATATTAAACGGCACTATATATATACTAACAGTATTTTGATTTGTCTCATGATATACTACTATAAATTATTCAACATATTTGACACATAGTTTCAACTATAAATATCGATGACCCCATAACCATTCAACACTCTACCAACCTTCTCTTCTCTTAATCACTCTCCTAATTAGTAAATTACTTACTCACTAATCACTTTTTTTTTTCTTACATAGTTAATCTCCGATTTGAAGTCAGACAACTCTTAACTTCAGTCAGAGTCTTCTGTTATCTCCTACTACCACTCTTCCTTAGTTCCATATTTTTTGTTACCTTCATTTTGTGTCTACTGTTTTTTTTTATTACGAGTTAAACATTTCTTGATTTTTTTGGTGTGTGTTTTGTGTGCGTGTGTGTAATCATACAGTCTCTTTCAGACAATGATCTTGTCACAAAAACGATGCAATCAACGTGAGCTGCAGCTTATTATTCTTAAGAACAAATTGAGTGTCGAGAAAAGTTTCTATTTTTGGATTTTCCAAATAGTCAACAGATTTAGCTTCGGTACTTAGTTAGTTATTTGCTCTCCCGTTCCATATATACAACTCTCTCTCGTGTGTTACAAGCAACAAGTGTGAATTATGCAAATGGGAAGTTCATCTTTGCCTCCAGGCTTTAGATTCCATCCAACCGATGATGAGCTCATAAGCTACTACTTGAGTAGAAAAGTAGAAGGCCTTGAGATTGAGCTCGAAGTCATTCCTGTTATCGAGTTATACAAATTTGATCCTTGGGACTTACCAGGTAATTTAATTACCATAATTCATATAATTATATCTAAATATTTTAATTTTAGATAAAACTAAACTTGTTTAATTTATCTTTTTTTTTTCTAGATAAATCTTTTCTTCCCAATAGGGATTTGGAATGGTTCTTTTTCTGTCCAAGAGACAAAAAATATCCAAATGGTTCTCGAACCAATAGGGCTACAAAGGCTGGTTATTGGAAAGCAACCGGTAAAGACCGGAAAATCACGTGTAAATCATCGCGTGTTATAATTGGATACCGTAAGACCATAGTTTTCTATGAAGGCCGTGCCCCATTAGGAGACCGAACTAATTGGTTTATGCATGAATATCGCCTATGCGATGATGATCTTTCACAAAAATCACCAAATTACAAGGTAATATATATCTTCATATTAATATACTAATTTTGTTTTAATGAAATTATTGTAAAGAAACCTAATAATCATAAGTATATGTTGAATATCAGGGAGCTTTTGCGTTATGTCGAGTAATTAAGAAGAACGAACTCAAGACCAATTCAAAAAGTTTAAAAAATAAAAACGAACAAGACATTGGTTCTGGTTACTCTAGCCTTGCAACCTCTCCATGTCGCGATGAAACATCGCAATTTCAATCCTTCAAGCCTTCATCTACTACAAACGACTCTTCTAGCATTTGGATTTCTCCTGATTTGATCCTTGATTCATCAAAGGTACTTAGTATTATCTAAACCAAAATAGTTTTGTATACATGCACTACTAATACACATATATGCAATAGTTAGTGGACTAATTTGTGTTTTTTTTTGGTTTTGTGATCTATATATAATGATAGGATTATCCTCAGATTCAGGACGTTGCTTCCGAGTACTTTCCAAACTCCAATTTTCCGGTAACCACGGCAAACCACCACGTGGAATTTCCGGCGAGCTCTTCATATTTTAACGTGGACCAGTACATTGATCAATCGATGCAAACCGGTTATTGGCCAGATTATGAATATGACCAAACCGGTTCATTTGATTACCCAAACTCTTTTTAGCTACAAAGAAATGTTGACTCTTTCTTAGGACAAAAACTCCTTTTTTAACGTTGTTGTCTTAGAAGTTAGAAGAAAAAGAACTAGCTAGTTAGTAGCGTCTGTCATTGCTTTTGCTTTGGTTCATTTTATTTTATCTTTACTAGATGGAGTATATTTGCGCTAATATAGGGGATGAGTATTTTTAATTCCTTATTTGTATCTTTAATAGAATTATTTTAAATTATTATAGATTTTTTTTTTTTTTAATGTCCAGAGATGCCTTGATATGATATATGCAAAGAGAATCATATTTCAATATTTCTCTCAATCAATCATTAATTGGACCAAACTATAACCTTTGAATCAACTTTTGAGGTAGTGATAACAATCATTTGCATTAAAAATTCTATAAAGGCAATAGTTTCAGGACCATCTCATATATCGAAACATTTTGTAAATATGTGATTTTAAAAATCCATAAAGATGAAAAAAAAAATGTAGAAAGAGGTAAATGTGACGCAGCAATTTATTTAAAGAGGTATGAAAGTTTAAAAGGCCAAAGTTTATATTTTCTCATTTGGTAGAGACTGGAGACCTTTACTAATATTCTTTATGATTTTATATATATACATATATATATATATATATATATATATATATACATTTATTAATTATAAAATCTCTTGCGATTCCCCTTCTAGTATCTACAATTACTTTTTATTTTATTTTATTTGCTTGATATCTATAGAGTTGGAGTTGGAGGCTAAAGCAATTAAGTTGCCAACGTATAACATTATTTTGTATAACCAAATTTGAGATTGCGATCTTAAAATACAAAAAGAACACAATATTTATATGAAGGATGAATTAGCTATAAGCCTGGTAAGTTTTTTTCTCTCTATCACTGCCTTTTATTTAGTTTATTATATGAATTCATGTTTGTTTAATGTTTGATCAATATTTGATAACTTGCATACCTTACTCACCAACGTTATGAAATTGAAGTCCAAAATTTTTGTAGTAATTCATCTTTGGTCAACAATTATAAATAATTATAAATTTTGTTTTACCTCATTAATTTTTTATGATGCAACTTGTTTAGTAAAAAATTGATAAATGTTTAGTGGTAATTCATTATCATTACCAAAAAAAGTGGTAATTCATTATACAACTTGGTAATTCGTTTTACTAACAATGAAAATATGATTATTGTAAAAACTCATATAGCAACCTTCACAGATATATCACAAACTCTCGATAATGATATCTTGCATTCATATTTAAGATTGGTAAAAATAGAAGTGAGCGTATCTCGTACCATTTTTAAGTTGTATAAAATACTATTGTGTCGCCATATAGTGACAAATCTACATTTTTCGTGTAATACAACTGGTCACTATTTATCACAAATACTATGAATAAATAAATATATATATATATATATATAATACTAATTATCTTAGGGAGTTCTTGAAATTAATCAAACATGTTGAAAGGCATACAAATATACAAACTAATACTGTAAAGATAAAATTGGTTATGTATTGATGACGTTTTTATAAATTTATGAGGTTATGCATTGGTGTATTCTTGAGAAGAGTTGTCAAATGGTCAAATGTAAGTAAACATATTTTTTTAAAAATTAAATACATTGGTTCCTTCTGTCATTTCTCTAGATCCACATAATTATGAAAAAGTTATAGAATTGTGATAGTTTATTTTAATACACAAATTCATTCATGTTGTTGATGGAAAACACATGTATAAATTATTAATTGGTTCCTTGTTCCACGTAAGCTTTATATTTTCTATGAGTTATGCTTATTGTACCAATAATGTAATTAACCAAGTGCTATTTATACAAATGAATATGACGGATTCATAATTAACTTGCTCACAAATCAGACTTTTGTTTTTTTTTATTTCCAAAATATCGATGTCTTGAATGCGACTTGAAACAGAAAATTAGTGAGACTATGAGTCATTGGAAGTGAATAATAAATTTTCATCAAAAGTTAATTTAAATAAACATATGAAAAAGAAAATCTAGAACTCAAAATCATGTAGCAGTTTTTTCACATATATTACAGACCCTCAATAATTATGCCTTACATTCATGTTTAAGATTAGTCAAAAATGGAAATACGCGTATCTTATACATTTATAATAGTTTACCAGAACATTTAATCCTCTTGAAAATGATTTATGAAACAGTGTTGACTGTTATAGATCAAATAGTTTATGCATATTTCAAATTGGGTCCATAGCTCAGTGGTAGAGCAATTGACTGCAGATCAATAGGTCACCGGTTCGAACCCGGTTGGGCCCTGTTTCTTCCTTTTTATTTTCTTGTGTGATTAATTCTATAAAGTTGACAAAAAAATAAGTAACCTGTCTTATGGCGTTAAACATCTTTTTGTATCGTTTCTCTCAATTCAAAAAGTTTCGTATTCACGAAATTGAAATCAAGAAAAAAATAGTAAATAATTATTTTCTTATTCGTTAAAATGACAAACCGAATCATACCGATCAAATCGAATCGTCGTCATCGATGCCTTATACCGATCGGTTTAACATCTAATTCTAAAAGAACGCTAAATTTATCGCCGTACGTTGCTTTATTCCGCGGCGCTGACACTGATCGTAACGTTCGACGGTTTTTCGCATCGGACATCGTCAGCCGTCGGATCTCTCTTGTTATCGTACTCCTTAAAACATGCGATCCTTCCCAGTTCCTCGACCTCTTCGATTACATTATCAAGCCTCGCCACCATCTCCACTAGCAACGACGCAAACGCCGCGAAAGGCAAAGCCTCCGAGAATTCGAGGCTCGTCATCACCGCGATTTTGCTCAGCTGTGGCCGTAACATCCTCCTCTCCCCCGCCGCCGCCGCCGCCGACTTCTCGGAGCTGTTATTACTGTTCTTGAACGATCTCCGGTACTCCATCAAAGCTGACGTGTCGGTTCTAAAGCTCGATAGCGAAACGGCTCCGTTTTGGCCTTTACGTAAACCGGTTTCGTTAAGTGAAACGTCGCCGTTTAGATCTTTTCCAATGTTGTTGCTGCTGTTGCGTTGCGAAACGGTGCCGTTTTGGTGTTTGTTATTGGAGTGTTGTTTATTGTTGTTGTGGCGGTGAAGATTAGAGCCAAGGAAGAGTTTAGGCTGAGACTTGATGGCGGAGTTGAGATCTTGGAGTGCCACGTGGAGATGATCGGAAAGTATCTCCGGCGAACAGTGACGGTGGTTGGAGATGCTATCCGCTAGTTCCGTCAAAGCTTTGCATACTTCTCCGGCTAGTCTTACACAAGGATCTTTAAAAAGCGCGCGAACAGATCTTGGAGTCTTGAAAAAAATATAATTTTAACAAAAATACAAGAAAAATTAGTATAAAGTTCATTACCAACAAAAAAATATTACATGATTAATGTAATTAACCTTACTTGAATCTCAGTTTGTAAGCAACCATGAAGAGCAACAACAGTGTAACCAAACTGACGAAGAACAGCTCCAACTTTAACGTATTGTTGACATGGGAATCTATGACAACCTAGACTGTGTCTTGGCTCCCAATTTGCATATAATGCCTAGAATTATCATTTCAGTTCGTGTTGGAGACTCTTAAAAAAATCTTGAAATATTGGAGAATTATATTAAAAAAACAAGACTTACAAGTGTTTCATCAGTGGATTTAGAATCCAAAACAGCTTGATACCCTTCGTAGATTCTATCTTTTGAATCTGATGTTTCTTTCTCTGTCTCTTTCTCCTCAAAGTACTCATTCACACATGCTACACACATCGTTATATTAAATATATAGCTATGTTAATTTACTAAATCTCTTACAATTTTGGTGTTAATTTTAATCAAGAAAACATTTAAAAAAAATGTTATATTTTTGAGGATTACGTCGTACCTTCTATAGAGCGAGAGAGGCCTTGGAGTTTACCAACGGTGGTCTTGTGTAGATCTTCACCAGACCATATGGGAAAAACAAGAAGGCTCATGAAAAGACAGATTCCGCAACCAATGGCTATAGTGTAGAATCTATCGTGCGCTATGGTTATCACACTATCTACTCGGTAGCTTGACACCGTTATAAGATTGAATGTCAAGAGAAATATCACTACTCCGTAATCGTAATTCTTCTTTATGTATGGTATAAATCTTATATAAGTTGCAACCGCCCCTGTCACATTACAATGAGAACATAAATCAATAGAGATGTACTCTTATAAAAACTTAGGAGGTTATTATGGTTAGATACTAAAATTTGGAGAGTTTGCATACCAATGATAAAAACAGCAGTGCCAATGAAGATAGCTCGAAGGACTTTGCCAGAATCATTTGCTACAAACTCAATGAAAAATGCTAGAGATCCCGCGATTAGTGTCCCTAGTCCTCTGTTAAGTCCTTTGCACAACGTTGCACCTAATTAAAGACTCAAGAAGTTAAAACAAAACGTTATATTATTTAACACTAATTATATTACTATATGATCTTAAATATTTGAGTGTATATGAGGAAATGTGTTGTTAAATTTACCGGCAGAGAACTCAAGGACGACGACAACGGTCATGACTGCCCAAATAGCATTGCTTCCAATGCCTTTGAAGAGAGGTTCCATGAGATATAACAAGGACACAATTGTCAGGGAAAGGCCTACTTTAAGGGCATGTATCACTCTCCTCGGATCATCTTTTCCGATCCTCCAAAGCCTTTTAGGAATCTTCTTGATCTTCTCAGAAGGTTCTAGAACCATCCACTTCGTCTTGCTCAAACCTTCCTCCATCTCAACGCTCCCTACGTGAACTTTGTTGGACATTTTGATGAGGGAGAGAAATTAGTTCTGTCTTTCTCCTTGTTTTGTAATAAGAGTATACAAGAATAGAATATGTTGTTAGTGTATTCTCTATATATAGCTCATTGTGTATGTGTATATATATATGTGTACATATAGAGCGATGGATCTATGGTTTACGTATGCGATGCGTAAACTATGTAGCCGGCCATAGGAAAACAAGTTAATACGTGTGAGTGTGTTGGTTGAACTACGAGAATCTCTTCTAAGTTCGATTGGTAATTAAAAATTACGTGTCGTTTGACTTTGCAAAATACAGTAGCAATTATATATATTAAGGGTGTAAATTTGATGTTTGGTCATTTTTAAGATAAATTTAAAGATTTTTTTTTATAACTTTTTTTCGGTTTGGCTTGATGATCATTTTGATTTCTCACAATTTTTTACGAATTTACTGTTTTATATGCTGTTACTATAATTTTTATCTTTTTATTAATTCTTAGGAAATATAAAACTCGTGATGTTCTATTTTTCGTCGTATTATGCTTTTAGCCTTCAACATGATTATTATAATAGATACGATTATACGAAAATAATATTCTCTTTTGGCTAGTGAGGAAAGATTAATTAGACTGATGGGTTTCACATGACTTGCAATTATTAATGTCAATATTAAATTAAAGAGTACTTTTATTTTCTCTTTTGTTCACAAGATCGAAAAAAAACTAAGTCAAAAGTTATTGAAAAAGATATTAAACTAACATACGTTCCATCATGCAATAGTTTTAAAATTAGAGATCCAACAATTATCCTTAATTATAAGCCTTTGCATAATTAATTATATGCATGCATGTGTCACCCAATTAGTACTAATATTGTTAAACAGGTCGTTCCAAAACTAGATCTTAATTAGTTGTATATTGTATGTGTTGTTCCTCTTCGATTAATGAATTCACAAGTAGGTACATACACTTTTAGTTACATTAATTCTAACAGCTAAAAAGATATCAAATATGTAAAAACCCCCCTTGCAAGATTTTCTATTTTCAATAACAATAAAAAGAGATTAAACATATAAAACACACATAAACAAACAAAACAGGGTTTTTTTTTTCTTGTTTTATCATAAAAGTTTTCTAGAAATATTGTTTAGTTGTATAGAGAGATCAGAGATGCATATAAGAAAGTCAAAACCAAGTTATCACTGTCTCAACTCTCAACTAAAGTTTGACCTTTTGGATCCTTCAAAGTCGTATTAACGTTGACACATAACACATGTATACCTTTTTTTTTTTGCACGGGGACTAACTTAATAATTTTTTTTATAAATTGTGTGTGTTTAATCACATTATATGAACTAAAAAGCCACGTTAACACCTAAAATATGAAAACTCGACTTCGAACTACAATACAATTTCATTTTTAATAAGCAAGAGATCGCGAACTGTCAGAAACTATATATGATATATTTGTTTTAAATTTTGCGAGGGTTAATTCTTGCCACGTTTACTTGGTATAGATCAGTTTAAGTCAGAAATCATATGAGATAGTTAAGTACGAAATAAACAAAACAGAAAAGAAACAATATGTAATATATATATATATATATATATATATATATATATATATATATATATATATATATACTTCAGCTTTGGTTGTTTGTGGAAATATTTTCTAAATTCGTACGTTCACGAAATATAACTCAAAGTCTCAAACCGTAATTATCTTCTGCCAAAAGGAAAATACAAACGTGAACAATATTAATGATGACACGGGTTGCGACTTGTGGTTTGATATACAGCTCATTTGTTGGAGACTGATTTGTAAATTTACCTTCAAATTATAAAATTTAAAATATTTGATTTTACATTATGATTTTAACTGTGTTATCGCCTTAATCTAATAGAAAACAAAATAATTTTTTTGGGATATTCTTAATTACAGAATACTTGAAAATCGTTTTAACTACATAATTATCAAAGAGTTGATTTACATATGGACAGCTTTTTTAGTTAAACATCGAGTTTTGTATTTAACTATCAGAAAAAATCCAAGAAGGTATAATAAAATACGAATATCTTTGTGGCGTTGTGTACTTGTGTGTTAAAACTGAGACTTGGGCGGTAAAATAGATCTTTCGATGCAACAGAACAGCTGTTCCCATGTTGTTGGGGTTTTTAAGATTTCAGATTTCTCGTGTGTTCTCCACCTGGCTCATGTGAGATCGCCACACGTGGTAGGAAAAGGATGGTTGGAAGGAAAATGAAATTTACCATTACAAATGTATCAAAACAATAAACTTCTTGGGTTCATGTTTAAACAGAAAAGGATGATCATATTATCATTATACAAAAGAATATAATTTGTCGTGATACAAAATACAAATGAACCAAATTAAGTGTAATTATCTTGATTACTTATTTTATTGATATCAATATTTAGAAATGGTGGTGATGAAACCAAAACGTTACCTAACTTTTGTGTTCCAAATCAATCATACTATAAGTAATCATCCTTGAATTGATTCTCAATGCATTATCAAAAAATGAAATAAGATGAATCAAATCAGTTTGTACAGACTCGATAAACCAAATTGGAATATAGTTCAAAGACACAAACAGAGCGAAACTGATCATTTCCCTTTCTCGCCAGTATGTCTGCAACTCTATTTGCTTCCCTCTTTTACACATTCAAATCTTGTGTTTCCTGATGAAACAGAAACCTGTCCTAACCTCTTCAGTGTTCCAAAATCATTCATACTATAAATAAACTTCCTTGATGTTCAATACATTGCTGGAATTTCCCATCAGGAGACACAACCAGTCCTCTTACTTTTGCAGGTTTCGTTTTGCGTTTAATTTGGAGTCTTGGCATAGTCTTACTACAGTTATGATCATCTTCTGCGTCTGTCAGTTTCTCTCCCTCTTCCAAAAACTCATTTGCAACATCCCCATCTTCATCAACCCTTAGCCTTTTCGTATACCATCTTAGTCCCTGATCCAATACAAGAGAGGACCATAATATAGTTTCCAATGGAACCAATATGCAACATCAACATATATTGAACATCTAGCACCAGAAATCAAGAAACTAGTGCTAGAAGTTTAATGTCATAGAAAAGACAAAGTGAATCATAGCCCTTGAGGTTTAGAGATTAGTAAGCACAGTTTCACTTCCACTACATAGAAAACTATAGTAAGTGATACTGAAGTACACTTGCTTTCTACAGACATTGTATACAGCATCTAACTGTTAGGATAACTCATACTCATTGGTTTCACTTACAAATGGAAATGAAAGAGACAATAGACAACTTACACATAAAGACACCTAATTCAAAATCCCCATTGGAGAATTGTGTTCTGAGCAATAATGCTTAAGCAAAAAAATAGAGAATATCAAAATCAATTTTGTAAAGTATGTTAGGAGATTCAAGCTGAAACCTATGTAGAGCATGAACCACGATTACTAACAGCTAAAGTAGTACTAAAGAATGAGTCCATCTTTAATGGTACTTACTAATAAACCTCAAAGCTAATGTTCAACGTTTCCTAAGCTAATCTAGCTAACTAGAATCCACACTTCAAGAAAGCACTCAACCACTTATAGAAACGGGAAATTCCAAACCTGAATACCACCATCTCCGGCGGCGCAAGGCTGAAGAAGAGGAGCAAGATTGGACCTTTCGACGGCGACTTGAACCGGAACCCCAAATCCTTTCCTTGGTAATCCGGTTTCACGGAATCTCGGCTCATCTCCGTCCCCGGAATCATCGATTCCTGTATTCTCATTATCATCTTCCTCATTTTTCAACACTTCTTGGCCAAATCCAAACACACCAGCCAACTTCTTGAAAAAACCCATATCTAAAAACCAAACTTGCACACTAAAGGAACAAACTTGCTCTCTCCCAAAAGCTATAAATTGATGTGTCTGTTAAAACTGGTTTCTTTAGACCACAACTTCTACTTCTTCATGGTTTCCCAATCGGACCAGACAAGGATCCAAAGTCCAAACAAATCTTCTAACCAAAATGCAAAAAACCAATAATTAAAAGAGTTAGGATCTTGTCCACTAACGGCGCCGTAAATGTTATCTTTATTTAACTGATATACTTCACTATTTGGGCTAAGTTAGTGAGAATTAAGCCCATTAAGAAGTCCACCATCATTTGCGCCATTCAATGTTGGTTTTGTTTACAATTGAGGGATTCAGGTATGATTTTGTTAAGCTTATTGGTGGTTGTAGTCTATTATTTTTCTTCTCTCTTGAAAGTACATAGCAGCATAGATTAAGATACACGTATAACCTAGTTTTCTGCTTTTGAATTGCATCTATAGGCTGTCGCTTTGCTCAAATCATACTTTTGGTGGAGTAGCCACACTTTTGCTAAGATCAAAGTACCTTTTGGGTCAATCTCAAAATATAACTTCCTTGGTGAACTTTTGAACCAATGTGCCTTCTTCTGTTCAAGTTCAACCATCCGTTGGTTAAACTTTTGAAAAGCATTCGTTGTCTATCTCAATTCTTAAACCTCTTTCTAGTTTCAGGTACCGATATGTTCACATCATCTGGTTAACGTGTCCGGTTTCTTAAGGTATGCGCATGGCGTAAACTTTTACTAACATGTGCTTTTATTGCTTGTTGGTCTAGTAAAGTCGAGATCACTTTAGTCGGATAGCTAGACAAAAAGTTTTGTGCTTTCTCATTCTATCATTCATTATCCCCAAATCCCTAAATACATGATCACACAGTCGAGTGGGTTCGTTAGGTTACTAAACTAAAGCATGGTTTGTATAAAATCAGATGCTAAGTTTCATTTCAATATGACATTTAATATCATTATGTATATATTGTCTTTTAACTTTCGATTTGTGTATTTAAAGTTGGTACTACATTATATAAATTTCTATTTTTGCTACAAAATATTCCAACTACATTATATACCATAGCATTAAAAATTAAGAACGCTCAGTTTTTTTTTTTTTTTTTTTTTTTTTTTGTCAATTAGAGTTTGGAATCTGATCATAATTCTGAATAAATAGATTTTTCTTAAAAAGATGAGGCAAGAGAAGGACAAAATGGTCAAAATAAGCTGCTGTCATTTTCAAAGTAGTGATTGTTTTTTTAAGATCTGAGGATATACTTATACTTAAGAAAAAATCTGACACATCAAAGTACAAACCCCATGTTTTCTTTGGATTTCCCAACACTCACACACACACAGTCAAACCAAAAATAATAATCTCTAGTTACATAATTTTATTAAAAATATGTATCTCTAGTTACATAATTTTATTAAAAATATATATATTCTTATTCTCTTATTAATTCCTTTGCCTTTTTTTTTTTAAAAAAAATATATTTTTTTTGTCTAGTAGAGTTTTTGGTTTCCCTCTAAACTAGTAACATTCAAATTCACATAATTCTCATTCCTATTTGATTTCTCTTTCCAATATATATACCAAACTCGGTTCATTCAATGCAGAAATGAAAATTATGTGAAAAACCCCAAAAATAAAAAACATTTATGAAAACAGAACTGGAGTTAAATGAGAGAACACCAAATCTAAAGAGTACATTACATTACAACTAGAAAGTATAAATGGACTGAACATAATCATTATTATAAAAATAAAATAAAAACTCTTTCTCTCATTCTCTCCTTAAATTCTCTCTATTCATTCACATATTTTAACAAAACCCTAACTAAATTCTATACCTATAGATTTTGTTTATCATATAAAAACAAAATAAATCAATCTCCTGAAAACTGAAAACCCTAAACCAAAGATTTGTTTCCTAAATTACTTATATTAAATAAAATGTTTTATAAAAAGAAAATAAGTAATTAAAAATTAGACACTTAACTAGATCGTCCCCTCTTCTCTCTCTCTGATGAAGAACTCAAGAAGGAGGAGAGAGAAGAGTTGTTAGCTAGCTCACACGCTTTCGCTTAAAACTCAAAAACCTGCACTTTCTCGTCTATTTTCTCGGCATTCGTAAAACAAGAAAAAGTGGGTCTCTGAGAAAATCACAAATCTTGCACAAAGTTTGAGTCTTTTCTCCAATGGATTCCAGAGAAATCCACCACCACCAGCAACAACAGCAACAGCAACAGCAGCAGCAACAACAGCAGCATATGCAACAACCACCGCCAGGGATGTTAATGGGTCACCACAATTCCTACAATCGAAACCCTAACGCCGCCGCCGCCGCCGCTTTAATGGGTCACACCTCTACATCTCAAGCTATGCATCAGCGATTGCCTTTCAGCTCTATCTCGCCGCATCAGCCTCATCATTACCATCATCCTCAACCTCAGCAACAGATGGATCAGAAGACTCTTGAATCTCTTGGATTTGACGGATCGCCTTCTTCCGTTGCCGCCGCTCAGCAGCATTCGATGAGATTTGGGATCGAGCAGCCACAGGTGAAGAAGAAACGAGGAAGACCTAGGAAGTATGCGGCTGATGGTGGTGGTGGGAATAACATTGCTCTTGGTTTGGCTCCTACTTCGCCTCTTCCTTCAGCTTCTAATTCCTATGGTGCTGGAAATGAAGGACCTGGTGGTGGTGGTGGTGGTGGTGATAGTGGAGGAGCTAATGCTAACTCTTCCGATCCACCTGCTAAACGGAACAGGGGACGTCCTCCTGGCTCCGGTAAGAAGCAGCTTGACGCTTTAGGTACAGTGAAAATACTCGATCTATCTCTCTCTCTCTCTCTGATCAAATCAAAATCACTGTTTACAGTTCAACTTAATGGGTTTTGTGTCTCTCTGTGTGTGTGGGCAGGAGGAACTGGAGGAGTTGGGTTTACACCTCATGTCATTGAAGTCAAAACTGGAGAGGTAATGTGTTGTTTGAAGCAAAATCTTTAATCTTGAATGGATTTTGAGTAATTCTGCTGCCTCTTCAGTTGGATAAAGTTATGGTCTTTCATTCTATTCAGGACATAGCTACGAAGGTAATGGCGTTTACGAACCAAGGGCCACGCGCAATCTGTATTCTCTCAGCTACAGGAGCTGTGTCTAAGGTGGCGCTTCGTCATTCTACCAATCCTGATGGAATTGTTAACTATGAGGTATAACTTGTCATGTCTTTTGTGCATTGCTTTAATCTTTGGTCTGATTTGAGCTCTGCTGGAATTTATTCAATCTTGTATTGAGCTGCTGTATTGGATGTGTTGTTGTTGCAGGGCCGATATGAAATCATTTCTCTGTCAGGTTCTTTCTTAAATTCTGAGAGTAATGGTACTGTGACCAAAAGTGGTAACTTGAGTGTGTCGCTGGCTGGACAAGATGGCCGGATTGTGGGTGGGAGTGTTGCTGGAATGCTAGTTGCTGGATCACAAGTCCAGGTTACTCAAATTCTTAACCTTTACACTCGAGTTTAATCACCAAAGTGTTCAAGATACTTACTTTGATTCGGTTTTTTATATAGGTCATTGTCGGAAGCTTTGTCCCAGATGGAAAAAAGCAGAAACAAAGCGCAGGGCGTGCTCAGAATACTCCAGAGCCAGCTTCAGCACCAGCCAATATGTTGACCTTTGGTGGTGGAGGACTGGGAAGCCCTCGATCTCAAGGACAACAACAACAGTCGAGCGAGTCATCAGAGGAAAACGAAAGTAATTCCCCGTTGCACCGTGGAAGCAACAACAATAATCATGTGCTATTTGGAAACTCGGCACAAATGCTTCAGCATATGCCTATGCAGATGTACCCTCTCTGGCCTAGCAACAGTCCTCAATAATTAAACGGTTCAGGGGTTGGATTGACAGGGTTTGCTTCTCTGTTCCTTTTGACACATCTCTCCACATCAGAATTATCTCTATAAAGTAGATTGAGCTGTCTTACTCTATCATCTTCTTCTCCTTGCTATTTCTCTTAAATTTAGCTTTGTTTTAGATAAATAGAGAGAGAGAGACATGTTAAGTAGGTTTCAATTCAATCTTTGTTTAGTTTGTTTCTTAGTAGTTTCTTTTGATTGTGACGATCACAAAGACTTGCTCTTTTCTTCTATCATCAACGAGTTATATCCACTTCATTTTCCAACATTTTCTAATTCGAAGTAGCCAAATTCAAAAAATATACAATGCTATACAAAAGGCCCTTTTATTCTCTATAATAGTTATATTACATTGGTTTTTTCCTTCACATACATATTTATTACTCTTCAGGTTATTACAACATAAGTTAAACCAACAAAAAAGTTAGTAAAAGACAGTGAAATACACTAAAGGTTCTGATACTTGATACATAATTTTAAGATTCCATTACTCTTCTTCTTCTCCATCATCATCATCTTCATCCTCTTGTTTGTGCTAGTCTCTGTGTTCCTTTCTAAACTGCAGAAACCATAGCTGGTGATGCAGCCATCAGTTCTTCCTCTTCTTCATCCTCATCATCCTCTGTCTCCCACATGAAATGTGCATACGAACCCAAAACCATACTGCAAAGTTACAACAACACAAACCTTTAGATCCCCAAGTAAAGAAATCAAATTGGGATTTGAGTTAAGTACTCAAAGAATCTACAGTTCATTACCAATCATCAGGAGAAGCATTAACAGCTTGATCAAAGTAACCTTGAGCTCTCTTCTCATCTCTCTTCGTTTCCCATATCAATTTACCATACATAGACAAGGCCTCTCCATCACCTGGATTCTCCAGTATTGCTCTTCCATAGTACTCCTGAGCTCTCTCTGCATCTTTCTCCACCTGAAATATTCAAATCCCAAATTCAATATTCACCAATTGGAAAAAAAAACACTCAAAATTCAGCTTCTAAAAATCACTAACCTCATACAAATACTTGCCGTAATTCATCAGAAGAAGCGAATTATTAGGATTCGATTTCAACATCTCTCGATAATAATCACCGATCTTGCTCCTATCTTCATAACCGCCTCCTCCGCCGTTTCCATAACCGCCGTTATAACCAGATCCACCACCACCATCGCCACCGGAGAATCCTTCCTCCTCTACAAGTAAACCACCTGAGATCAACGAACCCCAACCATCTCCAAACCTAATTTCATCCTCCTCCGCTTCATCACCCTCCGGGATTTTCGCCGGCGAAGGCTTAGATCCAACACTCTTCAGCATTCTCTCGGATCTAATCACATCGCTCTCCGATAACACCCTCCGAATCCCGACGTTAGCCTTAACCTCGATGGAGATCTTCCCTCCTACGGCAGCGAATCTCTCGCCGTAGCTGGATAATGACTCGACGGAGTTGTTCCTGGAGATGATAGGTGTTGTCTTCACCATCTTCCGCGACGAACCACCTGAATTAAACCGGTTTTGAAGAACCGGCATCGAACCAGTTCTCATCAATAGAGACTTCATCAGAACTTCGATTTCGCTTTCTTCTTCTCTTCCTCTTCGGATCTCTGAGAGTGATGATAATTAATAATCCAATCATTGCTATATATATCTTCATTTCTACCGTACGATCGTTTGACTTACATCTCATGTCCACCGTTAGATTTATTGACTTTCTCGCGCGCTACATGACTCTCTTTCGTGTAATACACTTAAAGTTGGTTTTACCTCAGCCGTCCGATGCGATGACCGTCTAGGTGGGAAGAATCAGCTACGAGCTAAGTCAACACTTCGCACGAGAAGAGCGTGATCGAAACCGGTCTGTGATCGCCACGTGGAGGAACCGTCGGTTCAAGTGAGTCTGTACGGGTTCTTCGTACTTGGGGCAAGTATCGAATATATTTTGTCCTCTAAGATCTGTGGAAGTTACGAAAACACCCTTACCCATTGTATATTGTTTTTGTACTTTAGTGAATACCATTGGCGCTCACCATATGAAAAGTAATATGGTATGGATACTATAACACATGTTCGATATCGTTATATTTGTCGTAGAGTTTATTATCACTACGACACTACTATTATTTTAATTCTTCTTATTTAGATTGCATGTCTAATGTGGTTTTCGGGAAAAAATATATTAATATTTTGGTTTGTGGATGATTAAAATATCACAATCACGCAAAATGACATTTGGTTTTTCTTGTCTTTATTTGTGAAGATCTAGATTCACTACCATTACAATTGGTGATTTGATTTTGTTTTCTGTTTTTGATAAGATAAGATAAGGTTCTCTCGATATGTATAATTAATAATATGGTTAATTTAGCTTTGTCATTTTGTTTGACATTGTTAAAGTTTTAAAGGTAATCAGTATTCTTTATAAGTTCTTTTACTAATGATGAGAATGTAAACAACTTGTTAACTCACACACTAGCCACTTGACTCAATTAATGATACTAAATTAACAAAAGGTCAAACTAAAGAGTAAAGACTAGCGTTACCGATTTAATCAAAAGAATATATACATGATTTCTTAAGATTTGTATATTTTTCTGCAGTTTTCATGGTTTTTACTTTTTCCCCAACTTGTTATGAATAAAATTGTATATCTTGTGAAAAAAAAAAAAAAATTGTACTTAATTTCCATCGCATGTCGGGACACTCCATGTATTCTAGGCTTGGTTCGATCAACCGCGTGCGGTAACACACGATGATGACCGGTCAATGCTTTAGAAGAGAGAGGCTCACAGAATAATAGACATATTTATAGGACATTTAGGACTCTAGAGTTTGTAACATACGTTATATAACGAAAAACAAGTTCACAAATCATAATTATGCAAACAGGAAAGAAGAACAAAGGAAAACATAAAAAGATTATAAGCAACAAAACCAAATAAAAGAACACAAATATATTATTATTGATCATAGTTGAGAGTTGAGACATAAAAACATACAATTGCCATAAGATCCAATAATAAAAAAAAAACTCCGAATAAAGTGTTTAAGCTTATATATGTATCCAAAAAAATAGACAAATGCCTACTCGATTACAAGCTAGCTACTAGATACTTTCTTTTTTAGCCAATAGGATGATGAATGATCCTAGTTCCCAATAAACCTCTTAATATTAGATGTTTGAATATGATGCTGAAGACTATTAGAGAGTATTATTTCAAGCAAATGTAAAAGTTTTGAAGTTTGATTAGCACGTTTCTGCATTCTAAAATGTGTGTTTGCAGTCCAAGAACTTATCGATGAATGGCGTATGCGACACCTACCTACATGAGTTGAAGAAGTGAAAGAAGAAGAAGAATTAAGCGTTTTGAACAAAAAAAAAAAAGAAAAAAAGAAGAAGAATTAAGAGCTAATTACTAATCAATGCATTATAATTACTCTACTATCAAATATCTATGTTTGTCGATCGCTGAAGTTTAATTTATGTGTGTGTTCTCATAATCATAATTCATAATCGTGATCGCTGAAGTTTAATTTATAATTACTCTACTAATTTATAATGGTCTCATGTAATATTTAAGGACTACTATTATTTTATATATGTCTCTTTCAACGTCACATTTGGCGTTTTCAACTTAACGATTTAAATTTGGAGAGCGTTTTAACCGAATGTCAAAATCAGACGCTTAATTAACACAATCGTGCATTTTTAAATGTGTATTTGGATGCTAGAATATGTTATTTTCTTTCAAAAAATTTTAAACTTATAGAATAAAGAACAACAACTCTTATATTTTGCTTGCTATAACGTGACTATACATATATAAACAACTCGCTATATACATACTCTAAGAAGCAAGATGAAAAAAAAACTTCGCTATTTTTAAGGACTAGGTGGCTTTAGCGTAAAACAAATGTCACATACGGCTCGTTCAATGGATACCATTGAGCAAACACAAACAATAAACAAACATAACAAAACCCAAAACACACTTTTTATTTTTAGTAACCAAAACTTCCTAACACTCTTTCTCTCACACAAAAACACACATTTTCCACACACTATACCAAATAAAACTGAACTTCAAACAAATAAAAACAATAATTTTAAATATTAACCTTACAAAAAAATAGAAGTTTTTGTCTTGTCATTTATTTTTTTTGGTCTTTTGGTATATGAGTAATCTCACGGCGGAGATAATCAGTCTCCGGCCACCGTAATGTCGACAGCAATACCTTCACCTATACCACCGCAACCTCCGCAACAACATTACGTTACACCGCCTCTCACGGTGATTCTCACCGTAATCCTCCTCGTATTCTTCTTCATCGGTTTCTTCACTCTCTATTTTTGCAAGTGTTTCCTCGACACAATGATGCAAGCTTGGCGTCTCCACCACGGCGGAGACACCGGATCCGCCGAGAATCCCTTACAGCCATCGGAAGCTCCACCCGTAAATCCCGGCCTCGACCTCCGGATCATAAATTCGTTTCCCACTTTTCCTTACTCCTCCGTTAAAGATCTCCGGGAAGAAAAATACGGCCTCGAATGCGCCATTTGTCTTCTTGAATTCGACGGAGATCACGTGCTCCGTCTCTTGACCACGTGTTACCATGTTTTTCACCAAGAGTGCATCGATCTTTGGTTCGAATCTCACAGAACTTGCCCTGTTTGTCGCCGGGAGCTTGATCCTCCTCCGCCACCGGAGAACACCAAGCCTACCGTGGATGAGATGATCATAGATGTGATTCAAGAAAGAAGCGACGACGAAGAAGACTACCATCGTCGTCGTCATCATCAGACAACAACACTGATTGATACTTGGCCGTCTTCAGGACAGAGCAGTAACATAAAAAAGGAACAGAGTTTGCCGGAGAAATTCTCTAGGTCGCATTCAACGGGACACTCGATAGTGAGGAACAAACCGGAGGAAGAAGATAAGTATACATTGAGATTACCAGAACATGTGAAGATTAAGGTCACGAGAGGACATAGCCAGACAGAGAGTTGTGTAACGTTCGCTGAACTTGTTAAAAACAGAGGATATGATCATCGCCGGTTTGGTGAAGTCTCCGGTCAAACTCAATCCGAAAACTGAAGAAAAAGGAATATAATATACTTTTTTCTTTTTGGCAATTAGTTAAGTTTTTTTTTTTGTCTTCTTGTTGTTGTATTGGTTATATATATATATCTTAGGTTAGAATTTTTAACTTGAGAAGATGCTAATTAGTATTATTAGTGAATTTTTTTCCACTTTCTGGAGTTTAATAATAAGAATGGACATTTTATTTTGTGTTGCTAAACCAAATTGTGAGTGATTTAACAAGAAAGATCCTAAATCTTTCTAACATATAACGATTTTTTAAAAATCATCTAATTCATTGGGTAATATCGTATTTTAATTAATTATAATGCTAAAGTTTTAGCTCCATATATAGGGAGAAAATAGATGTGGCCCCGGATCTTTATGATCTGTTAGACACAACAACAACAACCCAAGTACTATGTTTATCAGAACAATCATGGATAACTAAAAGATACCCGATGAAGAGATTTTTGAATGTGGTAAAACTTACTCGGTCACACATTTCGTGGACCCAGTCCCGACGGATGACAATATGGATGTTCTCAGCATCTTGTGCATGCAACTTCTGCATTAACTCTGTCATTTCCCTTTGCAGGCCACAAACATTAGCTCCAAGTATTCCCCCAACGAGCATGTCCTTGAATTTTCCCACTTTGCTCAACCACATCTCTTTATTCACCTGCCAACATATGAAATCAAAGAGAGATCGATCACCAGGGATATCTCAAAAAGTGTGTTTGTCGTAATAATATAGTGGACAATCTACTTACCTCAAGGGTTATTTTTGATGGAAGATTATCAGATATATTCTCATATCCAAAAAACTGAGAAGAAGATATGGACTTTGCGTTTGAGAACTTCTTTCTTGCTTCATGCGATTCTTCAACCTAGTAATCAATCAAATTAGTTATATAGTAGATGACTGAAACTGTTTTTGGAGTTAACTAAAACACAAGGCTTACTTGAACATTCAAAGAGCTGGAGCTTGATAAAGGCTTTGGTGGAGAAACATGGCTAAGAACTTGTGCATCATCAGCACTGCTTTGTCCTTGATATCGCAAGGGGTCCTTATACTCAAACCGAGTGGCCAATGATGAAGCAGCTAATGATTTGTTTCCGACATTATTTGTTGTGAATTGTTGGACACAAATGCTGAGAAAAGATCATGATCTTGCGAATTGTTGGACACAAATGCTGAGAAAAGAGTAGCTCCACGATAACTTGGCTTGAAAATATGCATGAATTTCGCACATCCCATAACCAATTCATCATTCGTCGCCGGTAGATGACCCATTTCTTCAGTATGGAATTTCATTTTCATGGCTTGTATGGCTCTCCTAAGTTCATGAATGTCAAGCTTCCCATATCCTATTATATTAGTCGAACGAAAAGCGATGATCATGGATTTCTCAATTTCATAGAGCATTTGATGTAAAGATGTTCCATAATGATGTTAACATGTTCCCTAATCTTGGTTTATCGACAAAATAATGTTAAAACAAACAATTTGGCATGTAAATACGTATTGAACCAGATTTAAATTTGTATATGAACAATGTTTTTTTCAAATGGGCTCGTTTGAGAAAATCTATTGAAGTTATTGAAAAAACATCTCTTATTGAAAAATATTTGTACTTTTCTTGAATTTTATTAATTTTTTAACGGAATTGTTGCTTTCCATAGTTTTGCATAATTTTTTGGAACTTCTGATACAAATTATAAACCGTCCTTGACGTTGAGGAGTGAAGACTGTTGAGGCAAGTGTCTAGTAGATATTGCCTGGAGAGAAAAAAAAATTCGAGTTTCAGTACATTCTTTCTCTTGTTTAATTGTTCCTAAACCTACTAGTGTCTTGAGCTATTGTCATAACCATTAGAGTCTTAGAGTTGTTGGTGTATGTGTCAATATTTAGAATTTAGGACTAACTTTGAATAAAACAAAAACTTAGGGGTTTCTTATGAAATATAATAAACTCGGAAGTTGAAGACTGTTCTTGTAAAACCCTCTCAGATGCTGCAATGTGGAAATCAAAATTTTTGTTTCGAAACTTCAGATTTTTCCGATGCCCATTACATTCTTCGCCGAGATCTGAATCAAAAGTATCAACCTTTCTCCAAATAATTTTGCTTGTTATTCAAATCCAATGTCACGAATTCATCTGCAAATCTTGCTTCTTCTTCTACGATTCTTCTATGTTAGTTCGGATTAATCCGATAGAATGGTTCGTGGGTTGGTGAATTTCACTGGATTATCAACGAGGCTATTGAACATTTGCGTTGATTCGCTCTGCAAATTTCGGAAATTGGAGAAAGCTGAGTGCTTAATCATCGACGGAATCAGATTAGGTGTGGCTCCTGATGTCGTCACTTACAACACATTGATCAGTGGGTATTGTCGATTCGTTGGTATAGAAGAAGCTTACGCCGTGACTCGTCGGATGAGAGACGCTGGAATTAGACCAGACGTCGCTACGTATAATTCTTTAATCGCGGGAGCAGGTAGAAGGCTTATGTTAGATCGTGTCCTCTACCTGTTCGACGAAATGCTTGAGTGGGGCATTTATCCTGATTTGTGGAGTTACAATACTTTGATGTGCTGTTATTTTAAGCTAGGGAAACAGGAAGAAGCGTTTCGGGTTCTTTATAAGGATCTTCAGCTCGCCGGGCTTAATCCTGGTCCTGATACTTACAATGTTATCCTTGATGCTCTTTGCAAGTGTGGCTATATAGAAAATGCTCTTGAGCTCTTTAAGGAGATGCAGAGTAAGTTTAAACCTGAGCTCATGACTTATAACATTCTCATCAACGGGCTTTGTAAATCCAGGAGGGTTGGTACAGCTAAATGGATGCTAACAGAGCTCAAGAAATCGGGTTACACTCCAAATGCTGTTACATACACCACAATACTAAAATTATATTTCAAGACCAGGAGGATTCGTAGAGGGCTACAATTGTTCTTAGAGATGAAGAGAGAAGGTTATACTTATGACGGGTATGCTTATTTCGCGGTTATTAGCGCTTTGATTAAGACAGGAAGAACGAAAGAAGCGTATGAGTATATGCAAGAGCTAGTTAGGAAAGGTAGGAGACATGACATTGTTTCGTACAACACATTGTTGAATCTGTATTTTAAAGTCGGGAACTTGGATGCTGTTGATGATTTGTTAGGAGAGATAGAGCGGAAAGGAATGAAAGTGGATGAGTATACGCACACCATTATAGTCAATGGTTTGTTAAGGACGGGACAGACAAGAAGAGCCGAGAGCCATTTTGTAAGTATGGGAGAGATGGGTATTGGATTGAATCTTGTGACCTGTAATTGTTTGGTAGATGGATTGTGTAAAGCGGGTCATGTGGACAGAGCGATGAGATATTTTGAGTCGATGCAAGTGAAAGATGAGTATACATACACTTCTGTTGTGCATAATCTCTGTAAAGACATGAGGTTTGTTTGTGCTTCAAAGCTGCTATTGTCGTGTTACAATAAAGGAATTAAGATTCCCACATCAGCGAGACGAGCGGTTTTGTCGGGTTTACGGATGTCTGGGTGTTACGGTGAAGCGAGGAAGGCGAAGGCGGAAATGAAACTGACTCTGGTTGGGAATTCCTGACGATCTTTTTTACACACAAGTTTTGTGGAAGTGTATTGTACTTATGTATCATGAAATAGAAAAAAAAAAGTCTTCATTCTTTCCATTCAAGAGGTCTCTGACTCTTTATTCATATGAACCTGATAAAATCCAACTAACCAGGCCTATTAGTTGAACTGGCCGGTCCGTGATTCGAGCCAAATTGAAATCTCGAAAGTATTTGTTACCTTTCCTTGTCACCGTAACACTTTTGGAATGATGAGTGAACTTACCTGCATTACAGTACAAATTTTGATTTTTGCTAGTCTCTATTCATGTGAACCGGACCTATATTTGAACCGGCCGGTTCGCAATTCAAGCCAAATTGAATCTTTATAGTTTGATCAACGAGGAGTGACGAAAGTTAAGATCTTTTACCTCTAATGGATTCTCTAGCAAAGCAGACTCTGAATCCAAACAAGCATCTCAAAGAACAGTAAAGCTTCTCTCTTTTTGCTCGCTCGTCTTCTCAATGATCTGTATATGTTGTCAGATTTTTGAATTTGTGATTTCTCGTTTATTGGATTTTTTTGTTTGAATTGACTTGGGCAGATTTGTAAGCAATCTTGATGGATCTTCAATTCTAGAAATCGCAGCACTGTTGACCATTGTCCCTGTAAGTATATTTTTTTTAAAACCCATTTCTTCGATTTTGCTCAATTTCTAATGACGGATGACGTTTTCAGCTCTTGGTTCTTTTGCGATACTCCATTGGCCTCCACTGCAGAATTGGTTCGTTATCTCAATCCATTTCTCGCATTTCATCTGCTTAGTAAACAAATCTGGTCATAGAATTTCGAAAATTGTGTGCTTTTTGCTAGAGGAATCATCATTGAGGTCTAAAGATTTTAGTGCATAGTGCTTTTTGAAGGTGAGTGATGTTTCTTAGTTCGATTAGTGTAAAGATGTTGTTACATGTTTGTTATAGATAATGATGATGGTAATAAAGCCATTTCATCGAAGAAAAACGACGAGGAGATTGTTGTTTCAAGAAATTGGAAGGCTTATACTTATGCTATATCCTTGGATTTCATCTTCATTGTCTTCCCCATGCTCCTGTTTTTCACTGTATGTTCCTTCAAACTCTTTTCCATTTTTTCCTGTGAGGACATTTTTGACTCGTCAATCGCCATGTTTTGATGCGTTCTTATGATCATCGAAACTGATGACAGGTTCTATCGGAATGGGTCTATCTTGGAACAGTCTTGTTATCTGTGTTGTTGCTGATTCTTTCCGTGACTGCCAAAAGGTAGAACTTGTAAGTCATGCATTTTCCCTATATTTTCCAAACCAAACATGTGTTAGTTACGGGTTTAACTTAAGCTAACTGAAGCTTTTGAAATTAGATCTTCTTCAGGGTTGCAGAGAGGACAGGCTCTCTCATTTAGAACAAGCGTATCTTCTTATAGAGTTGCTCTGGTATACTATATTACTTTAGTTTTAATTTAAGCAAACTCTGCTTTTATCTTCCATATACTCTGAAAGTTTTTCCATTGCAGATGCTAATTACATGCCTGTGTATCTTGGCTGTTGATTTCACAATCTTTCCGAGGAGGTACGCCAAGACAGAGACTTACGGTACTAGCTTGGTATGCTTGAAATTTTAAATCTCATAGTCCTTTAGGCTCTAAACAGTGATGACTTTATCCTTCCTATTGTGATTAGGACTTTGTATATATCTTGCTATAACAATTTGAAATGCAAACAGATGGATCTTGGGGTCGGCTCTTTTGTTTTAGCAAATGCTATTGTTTCTCGGCAAGCTAGAGGCGTGTCATCAGGGTGAGTGATTCTCTTGGCACTCCGTTATCCTTTTTGAAATGTTTTGTTGTTGGTTCAGCATTATGCAAACTTAGTCCAATTTTTTACTTTCATTGCTTCAGAAACTGGATAACTGGAATTAAAGCAACCGCTCCACTGCTATTACTCGGATTTATAAGACTTGTGACTACTTCAGGTGTAGATTATCAGGTAAATAAACTTTCCACAATTTCTCTTTATTTAGCATTGATGCTTGTCGCTTTACAAACTCTAACCATTGTTGGTTCTAAACTATATGAAGGTCCATGTTACGGAATATGGAGTACACTGGAATTTCTTTTTCACACTTGCAGCCATATCAATTCTCACATCATTTGTTAACATTCCTGCTCAGTACTGTGGAATCCTAGGTGTCGCTGTTCTTGCAGGTACAATCCAGGTTTACTTCCATTTCTCTCTTAATTACAAGATAGTGAAATCTAACTATCTTCTTTAACTTCCATGGTTCTCAGGGTACCAAACTTGGTTGGTTAGTGGACTGAACACATATTTGCTTTCCGACGAAAGAGGAGTTGACATTATCAGCAAAAACAAGGAAGGAGTATTTAGCATTCTTGGTAAGGTTTTGATTTGATTTATTTACTACTCTCTTTTGATTCTTTGGGATCTAATTTTCTTTTGGTTCAGGTTACTGGGGCATGTACCTTCTGGGCGTTCACTTAGGGTATCGTCTCTTTTACTCAAAACATTCAAATATTCGAAGGACCACGAGCTCAATCGCTAGAGTCTTCCTCGTTTCTCTTCTGTTATGGTAAAAGCAAGCAGTTATAGAACATACAATCTCATTATGATACGAGACTCATGGGCTATGTATGTTTGTCTCAGGATTGTGACTATAGTTCTTGATAACTACGTTGAGAGAATTTCCCGTCGAACGGTAATGATACTTACTTAAAACTCAAAGCATTAAAGAGGGACTATATTGATTAAAACCATTTCTATTTTCTGCAGTGCAACATGCCTTATGTTACGTGGGTGCTTGCGCAAGATCTTCAGGTCACTTTATAGTACAGAATTAATCATAATGGTGAAAACTTTGTCTTTGTGATTTCAGATTTTGATTTGTCTCTGCTTTTATTTCTAGGCGCTTGGGATATTTATGCTGTCTAGTTATATACCGATGAACAAACTTTCATCACTGGAAGAAGCAATTGACCAAAATCTATTAGCTACTTTTCTGCTTGTAAGTCTCTTATCAGTGAATTTCTCCAGAGTCATTTCCAATCTTGGATACTGATATCACATTTCCCGTTTCTTACAGGCAAACCTTGGTACAGGAATGGTGAACCTCACTATAGATACCATCTTTGCTTCTCCATTCTCTTCTCTTCTGATATTAACCGCTTACGCCTTTACTTTATCTGCTATTATCGGAACCATTCATTTCTCCGGTTTCCGGTTAAAGTTCTGGTAAAATTAATAGTTTCATAACATCTTGTAAACTTGCACGAGTTTTAGATTCAGATTTGATTTGTGGCATATGAACAGAGAAAAGACAGTCTTGTAAAGTATGAATCTTTCTTCTGTTTATGAAACTTTTGCCTAATTATTATTACAGTAAGTGTCTTTTATTATTGATAACAAGACTGACTTGTTCACTAACGACGACTAGTAATCTTTAATCACTTGGTGAACAATATCAAATCAAACCAGCATAATAAGATGTATCGCAAAGCAACTAGTGTTTGACATTACATACTGACAACTTCTCAAGGGTAGTTTCTGATTCAAGATTGGCAGATTTGTGCTGATCCCCCAAGATACTGAGAAGAAGAAATAGTCTTTGCGCTTCACAATGACACCACTTGTAGTAACCAACCCGAGAATTACCTTAGTAGTCAGCTTCAGTGCACCGAGACACCACTTTTTCCCGTTCTTTTAGCACTTGTAGCTTCATGTTTCACAAAGAACTTCCTCTAGGAGGTATCTTCTGCAATGGCTTCTTTAGCAAGAATCTGCCTATACAAACTAGCAGCTCTTTACGTGTACTATGTGTTACCATCCGGAACAAGGGTAGATGAGACTTCGTAACAGAGACTCGCTTGAGTGGTAACATGTACACGATAAATGCATACCTTTGAATTGATATACATATAATATAATGGATACATACATCATCATAGTTCAGAGGTTTGAATTTTTGTTATACGACTTGGATGATTCATGTTAAGTAATGTAAGTTTTAAATCAACGCTAGTAATAGATCTTTCAAATACAATCATATGACAACAAAATCAAAGCTATCATATATACGTACCACATTCAATATCTTAGTCAACAAGCCAATTAAATCATGAAAAGAAAAAGAAAAAAGAAGCTAAAGAACAAAGTTAAAGTCACATAAAAAGAACAAAAAAGTAAGGGGATACACAAAAACAAAGCAAAACTTCTCATATACCACAAGAATCTTTATTCTATATTAACAACATATCAAATTTAGTACATACCACATCTATAGTATAAACCTCCTTCATATCACAGTCACACATATATAAACAAATCCAACACCTCCTTTATGCTACGATTTGGAGGATGATCACATATGAATGAGTACACTTATCAATGTAACATATCTTTTGATTAATCCCTCAAGGATCTAATCCTCTTCTTCTTCTTTTTTCCCTACTCTTTCATGGAGACCGATCCAAATCCCAATGCTTGGAATCAATATATAAATCCAAGAGATTGTACTCAAGGCTTCTGCTCCACATTTTGTCCTCAATGGTGCAGTTACATCAAACTCTCTCCACCACCATTAGCCTACGAACAATTCCTAAACGACGGCGTTGCATCAAACCCCAATCTCTCCCCTCTTGTTATTGCCATCATTGGAATATTTGTTACTGCCTTTCTCTTGGCAACTTACTACACTCTTGTCTCGAAGTATTGCGCCAACGACACCAACAACGAAGCTGCCTCGGAAACAGGAAGATCAGATCTCATTCTCGATGTTAACTCGTCGGAAAATGGAGACCAAGGCGACCCTTTTGCTCATGAGTCTTCAAACACTGGTTTAGACGATGCTCTCATTAAAAAGATCGGATCTTTCAAGTTAAAGAAGCATCAAAACGGGTTCAAGATCAATGGTACTGACTGTTCAATATGTCTAGGAGAGTTTAATGAAGACGAGAGCTTAAGGCTGTTGCCTAAATGCAACCACATTTTCCACGTGGTTTGTATCGATAGGTGGCTCAAGTCTCACTCAAATTGTCCACTTTGTCGAGCTAAGATCATCGTCCCTACCACTCAACAAAACGATCATCGTGTTGTGGTTATGAATCTTGACCAGTTTACAAGCAATGAAGGAAATGTAGTCGTTGTTGATCATCGGGAAGAGGTTAGTCATGTTTCCATCAGTTCTCATCATCCACGTCGGTTCTCGGCCGCGGATATTGTTCTGCGGATAAGCAGAGAGGGAGAAGAGGAAAACAATGATCTTGAAAGTGGAAACAGAGTGAAGCATGTAGACTTGAAAAGATCATTCTCAAGTGGTGGATTGGTTCTTGGGACTCAAGCAAGGACTAGAACATATCTGTAAAACCTACTTCCCCTGACTCTAATTAGTTTCCTTTACAATATCTTTTACTTTGGGGTTAGGGGGTGGGAATATGAAACATATATTATTGTATTTACACTTTGAGAAATTTTTATATACATACGTATAAATATAATGGATACATATAGATCATCTTTGTTTAGAGGTTTAAAATTTTCAGTATCTTTTTATATACTATCCTTAATACTATTTGGTCTTTTAGAGAATTTAAATCATCAAATACAATTGATTAAACTTGATTTGTTACTTTTAAAAATTGGATCTAAACACATTAACATGGTTTTGTTATGATGTGTTATTTTATTTTATATGTGTTTTTCTCAAACAAAACTCTTTGAGAGTAGAGACATATATTCCAAATTCCCAAATGGTTCCCTTCTCAAGAAAAGTTAAGAGAGAAAGCAAATAAGCCCTTCCCTACCAAATTGCTTTCCAACACAATGTCCCATGAGAATTAATATCCAAATTTATAACGAATAATGTTTTTATTTATTATTATCACAACACCAATTATATATTTAAGGTTCACTCTATTTATTCAACTCAGAACCATATGATATAATTAGGTAAAGCCAAAAAAAAATATTTATTCCAATTTTTTTTAAGTCCAAACACTTTTAAATCGCAAAAAAAAAATAGGAAATTTAATTATTTATTAATTATTCCAAATCCATGTATGCACCTAACCAAACCAAATTTACACCATGCATACATAAATGAAAAAAACAAAAACTAATTTTGTTTTTATTCCAACTTTTATCCCACTAAACCCCTATATTTCCATTTCTACCCTTTTTGCATCACATATACAAAACAAGCACATTACAAATATTCACATAATTTGCCATTAGAAGGACGAAACCTAACTTAAGGCCTTTCTTTTTGCTAACACAAGCAAAAGACCATTTGTTTGGTATATGAGAAAAGATAAGAGACCAAAGCCTCTAGCTATACCTTTGTGTGTAATCTTATAGATGAAGAAACTGGGAACAGCTTTGTTTTCTCGGTTCTTATCCCATCGGAGATCGATGAGGAATTCCCTTTCTTCGCTTGGCGATTCTACAGTTGCTAGATGTAGTAAGTGGAGGTGTTGATGGGCTGAAACTTTGGAGATTTGTTATGTTCTTCCCAATCCCAATGCTGCTACTTGAATCATCTGTTTCCATCAGAAGGTTCTCCCTTCCCTTTTCAAATCCTCTTGATGTTCCAGCAATCTTGATTTCATTTCCCAAAAACATAGAGAAAGTAACTTTATCAGAATATGATTCCAAGAAAGATATGATCTCAGCTCAAACTTTGAGTAAGCTCATCGCTTAAACAACAGTTTACCAAAATGCTAGGAAAGGTTAGGTGAAAGTGTGAAACTGTAAAAACAGATATCAGGATGACCCATTTTCAAAAGTTTTGATATTTTCCCCTGCGGTTAAATGGGAATTGAATTTACCAAAAATGCAAGCAAATGTTAGGTGAGACTGTACGAGACCTGACTTGCTATATGAAACGTGTAAAGAGGGGAAATAACTCAATAAGTATCAATCTTATATCAAAGTTTCTTCCTATTTGTTTCAATTTATTATGAAAAGTTGGTAGCATTGGAAATGTACCTTGCAACCAAGAGAGCAGAAGCGGAAGCTATCATCGACGAGGCTACGATAGCAAACTTTGCAGGTATTGGTGACGCCTTTCCCGGGCCTAGGCTGAGGCCTCTCGTTCAAGAAGACGACTTTAGCACTATTAATCACATACGTTTGGATCCCGGCTATATCAATGTACTTTTGTATCTCATTCACCCTTATAACATCATGATATGAAGATCTCCTTATCTGCCAAAACCAATCAAGAACAATTTCAAAACCTCAACAAGAAAAAAAGTTGAACCATTGCAGGAGACACTAGTGAGACATTATACAACAATCAAGATCAAGGCCTTACCTGAATGGTGCGATGATCCTTATGATGAGCAAGACAAAGAGAGCAAAGAGGGCCATTGGTGCAGTCTAAGCAATACATATTGCATTCACTCTTGTGAGAGTCTCCATGAAACTTGCAGTGAACAAAGAATTGCTCTTTAAGCAGAGGTTTAAGCCATGGCGGCCAACGGTTGTCTTCCTCTTCCGGTCCACCAGCTCCCTACACCAATACAAACAGACCATTCAATTCTGATAATCTATTTCATAAACCATCATTACCATTTCTCTACCTCAAAAGAACATTTAGACATAGCTCTTCAACCACCATTAAAACATCAAAAACTCTTCTTTTTTTCTTTCTCAAGTCTTTGAATTGATCTTGTAGTAGAAGTTTAAAAATTTGATTCTGTTCCATTGCTAAAAAAGTTATCTGAAAAAGGAATCTTATTGAAAACCCAGATTCGTGCTTCACTATTTCACTGGATTTTAGATGAGTTTTAAAAAAGTATAAATTTGGTATAAAAGGAAAGAGCATATTGTACCAATTCGTGACACCAAATAAAGTAAAAATTAACTATAACGGAATCGAGCTTGAGAGAGAGAGGGAGAGAGAGAATCAGAAGAAGATGAAAACTACAAAAAAAGGAGCCCATTGTTCTGATTCTTCAAACAAATAAAAATCAAATCTTTTTTGTTGTTAGGTATACCAAAACAGAGCACTTCAAAGAAGAAGAAGAACCACAATGAATGAATTCAAAAGAAAAGAAAAAAACAAAAGCAAAAAGATTACTACTTTTAGTCATTTTCAAGCCATTGAATTCCAAATTCAATCAAAAAACCTCAAACCCAGAAACAAAAACAAATCAATAAAGGAGGAACAAGAGTATTACACATTTGAAGAACAGAGAAGAAGAAACTATAGAAGTAGTAAGTACCATGATTCTCCTGTTCTTAGGCTTGATTTCACGGATGGTGTTCTCTTGATCCTCGATCGCCATTTCGTATTTGCAGGAAGACGAAAAAAAGAGAGTCTTTTTTCGAGTCAGCTTCCAACTTTTTTTTCCTAGAGAGAGAGAGAGAGAAAGAAAGTGAAGATTTCTTGCAGAGAAGGTAAAAGAGAAAGAGAGAGAGAGAGAGAGAGAGAGAGTGAGTCTCTCTTATCTTAGCAAAGTCGACCAACCCAAACCTCCTTCCTCTTCTCTTCATTCATTTATATTCTCAAAATGTTTATTATTTTTTTCAGTTTGTTATAAATCATTAGAAAATATTTTAGATATATCTCAAATTTATTTCTATCATTATTTGGATTTTATCCTAAATTAGTTGTAAATAATCGTTTCCGTTACATAGTCATACAACATAGCATTATTGATGTTGGTTACATACATATTGCATTTATATATGTTATATAAAATAAAATATTTTTGCTTTGGTTAAAATGAAAATTTTTATAATCTTTTAGCATATGTATGTATATAAAGTGTATTATTCATTTTATGTGTTGGGAAAGTGTAAAGTATTTTGGGTGTTTAGATATTATATTAAGCCAAGTGGAGAAAACTATTGCTCCATTATTGTAGTTTGACATCTCATCCTCTATCTTCTTTAGAATCCCATTATATGTGTTCTTTGTTTCTTTCATCACCCATTCAGGTGCTCTCTCTAAATTTTTTTCATTTTTTTTCTTTTTACCCATTTCTGCTTATTCAAAATAGCAATAGATGTATATATATATACTAAGTCATCTTATGTAATTTACTTTATGGTTATACTAGAACATCAATGACATACGTCACGTTTTCAAATTACTTGACTGTTGAAAAAATAGAAGCAGTAATTGTGGAACAAAACTTTGGTTTATATGAAACATATGTATATGTATGTGAGTGTCATCATAGTGTGTGTGTGTGTGTGTATGTGTTTCTATAATATGTATATATGTGTGTGCATAAGAATGAGTTGGAACAAGTGTGAATCGCACTTTACTTTGTTCTTAGTTTAATTATTGGTGTGTGTATGTTTGTATATAATATAATAAGAATTAAGATGGTATGATATCAATAATTCAGATTCCTATTTTTGTTATTAAGCTATTAAAGCGAGCAATATGCGGAGACAAAGCTCATGAATTGGACATACTAAATAACCTAATCCATGTGTACTTGTTTGTTTTTATAAAACTTTATACTATTAAAAATAATTAATAAAGAGGAAAAATTAATGCAGAAACTTAGGTCAAAAGATGGGTGTGATTAATTTAATATAACATTACACACCTTTTTGTTTTATTATTTTAGTGCTTGCTTGCGTTTGGTTGTTTGTTCTTAATTTAATTAGGTAAATTAGCATTAGCAAAGTCAGTACTAACTATTCCAATATGCATCACTTGATAGGGAAATTGCATTTTTATACCTCATTGTCCTTTGATTAGACAAATCAATTGTCTTTATATATATACAAAGAACTTAATCCATTGTATATACCAAACTACCAAACTCTGTTTTTAAATCGTTGTCATGTCTCATCTGAAATGAAAGTACAATTTTAGTTTTAACGAGCAAACTAATAATTTTGTTTTGTTCTAAAACTGATAAGGTAAAACGTGGAATTATTTTGTTTAGTTTAAAATTCATCTTAGTATGTATATATATAAGGAGAGTCTACTCATTGAGTCATTGTGCGTTTGTTAATAAGAGACTTGCGTGTTTCATGCAGATATAGAATTTGTTGTCCTGATGATGATATTATAAATCATTTGTTTCGTATGAATCCTATAAATGTAATTTGTTGAATGCTTACAATAATAATGTACAATTGTGTATTGAAATAAAAATAAAATGAATGACGACGACAAGGAAATAAATTTTAAAAAATTGGGAGAAACATATAATATGCATTCTCATAGACGTCATATGATAATAACAGCTTTTATTCATTTGTCATGCATGATGGTTAGAGATGGGTAGATGAAGGAAGATGCCAATTTCTTTTTTCTTTTCTTTTTTCAAATAGAAAAACTAATTTGATACAAAACTATTCAATTCACTTATAAATGTTTCTATTGGTGAAGGTATAGTTAAGTATCTTTGTGAAAATGTGTGCAGTTATTTAAATAGGAACACACAAGTCTTTTATATGAATTTTTATTGTCCCATTGACTTTGAAAATGGACGCCACTTGACTATTGATATTTCTTTCCCAATCTTTGAATTTGTGATTCTTTTCTTATTTTTATTTTTATTTTTGTTACACAATACTACTAGTAGAATATTATTTTCGTTTATCACAACATTTGATCTCTATTGCATTACACTAATTCAAATTCCGCATTAGAATCATGCTAATTTTTTTTTAAACATATAAATTGTGAGGAAAAAAATCGTTTATAAATATACAAACACGAGTTTTATTTTACTTGACGTTAAAACTAAAATACTAAAAACAATAAGAAAAAAATAGGAAAAGGGGTTTGTTTAGTCAAAATTGAAGCACACTTTGGACACGGCACGCCATATCTGACCCGATGGACCATCTTCTTCTCCTTATCATCCTTTTCCTTCTTCTTTATTCATTATTTTTTACAAAATTAATAATACTAAATTTTATCAAACCATAAAAACGAAACAAAAGAAGTAGACTCAGTCGATGATAACACATACAAAAGATTAATATTTATTACCGCTTCTTCGAGGACATTCGATATAAACACTTTGAATATAACATGATTAGTACATAAATCGATTTCAATGTAACTCTATTAGTAAAGCAAGTGGTCAAATTGAGCGGAACCAAACCCGGTCACAGTTGAAACATCATTGGGGTTTTCACATTTTTTATTCAAGTTTTTGTCCAAGTCAAGTGATCGATGATCTTTTACCAATCTTACCATAGATAAGTCTTTAATGGTATTAGTAGGTAATACGGATCCAACTTTGATGTTTTCAATTTCAGGTACGAACCAAAACAATAAAGTAAAAAACCATTAACAGAAGCTAAAACTTTACTAGATTCTTAATCCTGTGCTTCTTATCAAGAATAGAAAACCAAGTCAACCAACACCAAAGTAGTAAGTTTACTACTATGCACAAAACCGGAAAAGAAAAAAAAACGAATTAAGCCCTGATTTAGTCTCTAATCAAAAGTCATTACCCCTAAACCCCATTATCTTTATAACACCTAGAAGCTAAATATGCGATCAAGAAAGTCAACTTAGATACCTCTCCCTGTCTCTCCCTTTTCATGTTTTTAATTTTTTGGGCGGGGAACCAGTTTTTGTAGAAACTGCTTGATCCAACAAATCTCTAGCACGAGGTGAAAGCTTCTTCACGAGGTCTCCATTAACAATTTCTTCTGCTTCCGAAACTGCTGCGTCGCTTATTAATTCTGGCTCCTTCCAAGGCTTTTCTTCCTTCTTTGTGGTTTCTTCCATTTGCTTAAGCTGCATTTGAAAACTTCCTTCTGCAACAGGATCACAACACACTAGGTAAGTAAGTAGTAAACTCCACAAATTTAACATTGATATGGAGATTAAATTAAAAATCCCTTAGTGATAACAATCTTTTTCTGTCATCAGAGAATTGTACCTTGCTGTTTTGGGGATGAGTCCTGATCTTCAACCATCAGCAGAGGGAAAAAATCATCACCAGTGTTAGCTCTTTCAATGGCTAAACAAGAATCGGGTTCTTTCTCAGCCCATGGACTGTAAGAATCATCAGTCTCTAGCGGGTCCATAAGCTCTGGCATCCGAGAATCCTCTTCACTAGAAGACTCTGCTGATAGAAACATATCTTCTGTTAGCTCGTTAGAGAGGGATACAAAATCTTCTTCTTTCTTGACATCTTGGTTAGACACTCCCACTGGGTCGCAGGGTTTGCTGGTTTTATCGACATTCTCATAATTGATCTCTGATAAACACTCCCCGTTAGTAGATTCAAGCACAGACTTTGGCGAAGAATTCAGTAAACTCGATTCAAGCAATGGCTGCATCTCTTCAGCGACGCTATAAAACCAGGGAATTCCTTCTTGTGCATAAAAAAGAATATATGAATCCTGTGACAGCACACTATCTTCTTCGATTCTAGTGACCTGCCGAAGTTGTTCAAAAACACGAGGAAAACTTCATTTATGGAAACTATCTATTAAACCACCCAAATCTACTGGAATTACTAAAAATATCACCTTCGCGTCATCAAATTGATGCCATATCTTGGGAGCAGACCTCACATAGGACGAGTAATGTCCATGAGCTACTGAGCTCCCGAGATGCTCCACAAAAGCATAAAGATGGTATTTTGTAGGAACCTGAAGAAGAAGAAATAAATGAAGTGGGTTTCAAATGTGCAGATATTTTTTAGTAAATGAAAAGGAGATCAGAGATAGTTTACTGCAACTTTCACGTACATCGTTTTCCTGGATATTCCTCATATATGGCTGCAAGTCTAACTCCAATGGGATCTTGAGATGGTCGAAGATCTTCTCCATATAATATCCATTATTCTTGAATCTCTTCAGATGGAATGTGACAACCAGAGGAAGCGTATCAAGCAAGAGTTGCTTCTCCTTTGAAACTTTTTCATTACAGTTATCACAGGTCAATTGCTCATCAAGTTTTTCCACACGGGTAAAGGATTCCAGTGCATCCTCAAGGGATTTCATGCCTTCAATTTCCAAACTCAACCCAACAGACTTTTCAAATGTCTCAGAGACGAAGTTGCAGTTGCAGCAACGGAGCTGAAAGTAGAAATGTGCACATCCTTACCAAAATCAAACTGAAACACATAATGAAAATAGCTTTGGCACTTGACCAAATGTGTAGTTTGAGTGAACTTCTTACCCCACTGATAAGACGACCACCAAAGACTTGCTCAACAATGTTGACATCTTGAGAAGAGACAAAGTGGCGATAACTTCTTCGATCCAAACAACATCTCTCCAACTTATCCAAAAATGCTTGCAGAAACTCATGAGCATCTTCTTGTTGATAACGCTGGAAGTCAGGCGAAAAGTCTGTGGCAGCTAAGGATAAATCAATGCATTTCATAAACAAAATCAGAGAATCCCAAAAGAAAAGAAAACTATGCCATCCAAAGAAACATATCCAGAAAAATTGTTAAACTTTAAGACTACAACCATTGACGGAAATGAAACAATTCAACAAAGGATACAATTAAGATAGTAAAGAAAACATTCCGGAGCAATTGGCGTTCTTTCAGGCCTCAGTGCAAACTCAATGTGAGTTCGAAGAGCCCTTAAAACACAGAAGAAGGGATTACCACCTACAAATTCAAAGGATACATAAGATCATTACAAATTCATTGCAAGGTAAGATATACAAATCAAAAGCTACTACATTAAGAGTCTTACAGTTACAGGGAAATTGATATTTGTATGAACGAAGGCTCTCGACAAGTGGCACAGTGTGAGTGAAACACTGCAGCACCGAATTAAGGAAACAAGTGTTGCCTAAATTCCAAAGCCCAGCACCCTACAAATATTCAAATTCGTAATCAGAGATCAAAATTGAAAACAATGCAACCAAAATTTGAAAACAAAATCAGAACATACCACACCAGTAACGGGCTCATCGATCATCAGAGGTCTTTGCATGAATCCTGACACCAAGGTTTCGGTGCATTCCTGCTTAGAGTTGTCATCATCACTTCCACAACCAGGCGAAACATTAGGCGTCCAATCTCGGTTACTCTCCCGGGGATCGTCAGACGGGCAGGCGTCCCAGATAACATCGTCGGTATCGTCAAGACCTTGCCAAGTACAATCGATTCGAACCTGAGACTCTACCATGCGTTCGGACTCACTGCCGAACTCATCGTGATCCAAATTGATCGGAGAAGGAATGGATTGGGTTTCGTCCGATGAAGAAGAAGAAGAGGTATACTCATCTGGGCTCGGAGGCGAATCATGATTACCGCGATCACGATCTGGAGACGTAAGAGCCAACGACTGAACATTAACAACATTTGTATCAATCGACGGGATTTGCGAAGAAGGCTCGTTCTCACTCTCATCTAAGGTTTCGATCGAGTTGGGAATTAGCGGAGGACGAGGCAGCATCGAAGAAGAAACGTCGGAATTAGCCACCAACATCGTCGTCAAGGTTCGAATTCTGAACTGGAAAAAATTTAGGGTTTCGTCAATTGGAGATGAAAAGTCGAAATTCCGGTGCAGGATTATCAAAATTCCGGTGAAGAACAGGTGGACTAGAAGAAGATCGGCGGCGAATTAGGGAGGAAAGTGAGAAGAAGGAGAAGGAGACAAGGAGATGATTTAAATTGGGAGGGAAAATCGAATCGCCATGTTTTAGGGTTTTTAATCTCTCTGCAAAGGGCTAATTGAATTTGTAAGGTGTAAAACTGTTAAAGTGTGGTTTGTGATAGATACAGATTTGCTTCTTCCAGATACGGTAATTTTGTTTTCCTTAAGGTCGGTGGTCAACTTTGGATTTTATTGGACTTTTTTTATAATTCTTTTTAGAATTAAATGATATTGTTAAAGTAATTTTATAATTAAATAAATATGTTGATATATTCGGTTTTTTCTTCTATAAAATCCTATATTTTTTTAATTATATCCCTTTTTGGGTATATATATTATTCAACATATTTATGTTTTGAAGGAAACAAAAAATTACGAAATTGGAATAAATTGCTTAGTCAACCATGGAAATTTAACATATTTAGTATGATATCTAATTCTTATAAGGCAAAAATAAAAATTATGAATAAGAACAATAGAATAAATTGGGAAAAATATCTAACTAAATAGGAACAATAGAGAAAAAAATTACAAAGTAAAGAATATATAATTTACCCAAAAAAAAAATTGAATAGCCCTGGACAAAATAACAGGGAACCAAAGAACCAAACCAAAACATTTAAAAAAAAGAAGAACCAAACCGAGCTTAGAACTGACGAAATATTCGAAAGAATCTTCCACTCATGTATCAGAAGAACCAGAATTGAACCAGAATAGACACTCAAATTATTAAAATATAATTATATGCATATATATATATATATATATTAATTTTAATTAAACTTGATATTTTCTTAGACCAAAGTACCAAATATTCTGATATTCTTAGTTTTTTTTTTTTTTAACTTAACTGATATTCTTAGTTATTTTGTCACATTTAACACAATTTTATTTAAATTTAATTATTTTTTAATATTTTGGATATCCGAAACCGAATCAAAATTCCAAAATAAGCAAGCGGATCTAAAATTCCGGTACCAAAAATATCCATAATCGAATGGATCCACTCAGAACTAAGCTGAATACCCAACGCCCATGGCTAACTACTAAGATATATTTTGCTATTACTTAATAAATGTGCAAAGTCATGAACTTTTTATTCAAAGTCTTGCAGAACCATTTTATCATATGTATAGGGGATTCACATTCAAAGCACATTGTATTTGTATCATCGCAATTAAATTTGATTAAAAATCCACTGTTTTGTGCAAACAAACAAAGATTAATATAAAGTCTATAACATATTCCAATAGTATATTATATAATATCCATATAGATTGATAACAAGTAACAACGATAGCCACGTACGTCTCAGTATATTCCAAAAAGCTCTATAAAAAAACAGAGAAACGTGAACCTCATTGGAAGTTTCCGACAAAGCTTTTCTTTTACTTTTTTTTTTCTCTGTAGAACCAAAAACATGTGAGAGCTTGTGTCGTTCTTCTCACAGCATTCTGTCTTGGATATCACTGAATATACCAGAAGCTAGAGTTCCAAGCTTCTTCTTTGTTTCGCCTGCTATGTTCACCAGCGACGACAGATCTTGTTGCGCCTGATCAAACATTTGAACTCGAAATATTCATCAACAGGTTAAAATATGAAGAAGAAAAGCAGAGAGATTCAGGAGTATGGGTCTTGTACCTGGAAAGAAAGCCTGTTAATGAGATCGCTAGCAGTTATATCAATATTGGAATCATCTTGGTCGTGACCGTAAAAATCAGCGCTTGAGATAGATGCTGAGCCCTGTAATTTCCCACAGTGGCATTAGTATCGAAGGATAAGAATATTCTTATGAAAACTGTAGGGCATTTTACTTACTGCAAACTTCTGAAGAGTAGCTTTGGATTCCATATCAGCGTTTTTGTTCTGATCCCCAAAGTACTGAGCTGAAGAAATGGACTTTGCATTTGTGAACTTCTTTCTTGCTTCATCAGATTCTTCAACCTAGTAAGAACAAAAGGGCTTAGCATAATACTGGAATACTAATTTACTATTTTTCTTTCTGAGCACGATAGCTTTACTTGAGATTTTGAGGAGTTGGAGCTTGATTTCTTGGGGTAAGAACTGTCCATTCCAAAATCCGAAAAGAAGCTTGATGACTTTGGTGGAGCAACATGGTTAAGCACTTGTGTACCACCACCACTTTGTCCTCCAGATTGGAAGTCGTCATTGTACTCAAACCGAGAGGCATATGACGAACCAGCTGATGATTTGCTTTCCCCGTTATTAGTTGAAGACACGGCAGAAATAACCGGAGCAACTTCTTCTGGTTTCTGCTCATACAGATTATCCTTTGACTACATTTTACCCCAAAAAAAAAAAAAAAATTAAAATCCAATCTTATAATGTATACAAGAGAAATAAAAATGCTCCAAAAACAACAACCGAGACATACCTTAGTGGTAAGCTTCCTTGCACCAAGACCACCAGTTTTTCCTGTCCGCTTAGCACCTATGGGTTTCTTAAACGTACTAGGCACAACTGTATTAGAAGCTTTAGGAGAAGAGGTGGCACTGATAGCTTCATGTTTAGGAGGAGGTAACTCTTCCTTGACAGAATAAGAAGAAACCCCATTAGATGCTTCCGGTAGCTGAGAAGTAGCAACAGGGGATGAAGGTAAGCCAGAACTAGTTTCTTCAGCAATCGCTTTAGCAACTTCTTTAGCAAGCATTTGCCTATACAAATCAGCAGCTCTCGAAGTGTACTTAGCCTCAACTTTGCCACCATCAGTCCATCCATGCTGCTTGAAAAAAGCCTGAGCACGGTTGTTGCCACCAAACATCATTGTCCTGAGCTGCTCAGGGCTCCATGAATCTAAATTCGTTGATCTACACCAAACAAAAAAACAAAAAACGAAAAATGTAGCATATTCAGAACATAAGTGACAATATTCCATTCCTAAAAAAGACAAAAGAACCAGTTTCAAAATCTCAACTAGTCAATGGATCCATAATTTGAATCAATCTAATCTCAAGAAACTCTATTGGAATTGAAGTCAAACAATTCAGAAAGTACAACATAATCGAGTATAGTTCAACCACACACTAGAGTCAACGTAACGCTACATTATCAGAACTACACCAATCATGCCTTTAAAAAATAGCTCAAACCTTAGCCTAAATCAACAAACCACTACAACTATGAGCAAGAGCAATGCCGAAGAATCGAATCAGATGCTGAATCGGATCAGGAATTTTACCTGACGAAACTGATATGAACACCGAGATTCCGATGCGTAGCTGAACAATCGATACAGAGAAAAACCCCATAAGTAACCGATGCCCATGTTGGATTCTTCGCACTACAATCGAAGCAGACCTAAATTTGCCAAATCAAAACCATAAAAAATTATCATAAATCGAAGATCCCGTCAACTAACACACAGATCTAGACACACACAACCAATTTAAGCAAGGGAAAATTCGATTACCTTGTTCTCAGATTTTGATTTGAGTTTTCTGAAAACAATGTTTTTGTCGGTAAGATTGTCAGCAGAGGAAGCCATTGTAGATCAAATTGAAGGTTTTTACAACAAAATGTGAACGAAGAATCAAAATCTGAAGAGGTGAGAAACAATGGATCACCTCCTCGAATGAATTTTGAAAGAAATGAAGACTTCTCTATTTGTTAGGTTTATTTCCTCTTTCTTCTTCAATCAAATCTGTAAATCCAAGAGAGAAAAAACCAGTAACATTGATGGAAACATTTGATCTGACTCAAGTGACGATACTACCCTTGGCTAATCTCAAGGAATTACGAGAATGGCATATTTTTAGAAACGACACGTAGTTCGCGTTTCCGTTTCCGAAGCAACATGGATGGTAACTGATGAACGCTTATTTTATTTTCACCTTTTCTTCAACATCAATTCAAAGAAAGATTAGTTTTTTTTTTTTTTCTCAGTTCAAACTTCAAAGATTAGGTTCTTATACCTTTTAAGATTTAAAACATAATTTGTTTGTGAGGAATATATATTTTCGTATTAAGTTGTTAACATTTTTTCCTAACATATATGAGTTAACATTTGTTAATTTAAGTTAATATATATGTCTCACACATATTATATGCTCGATGTTTGGATATTCTTGTTGTATCACATTGAGCATACCTTATAATAAAATGATTTGTAATGCCTAAACTAATAATGATATAAAACAATAAACTGATAAAGTAATTACTTCTTGCTGATTTAAAGACTAAATTAAATACAATGTCATCTCCAAAATGCATTGCATACAAATGGAATATGTGTATATATGGTTATCTTGGGACTCAATTAAAGGTAACCAAACTGATACATTTACGAAGTTGTATCCATCAACCCTAAGGTATTACGGTCGACTAGTCCATCTCCATTGCAGTTTGAATACTTAAAAAAAAAAAAAAAAAACAAATCTTCACCGTTTAGAATAAGAATGACCCCGAAGCATTGGACCATGCATCTCTTATAAGTCTCCAATATGGCAATATATGTGGATTCATTGTGCATCATATTCCCTATCTATCCACTTCAAAGCTTTATTCTAAACTACTTGACATACACTAACTCTTTGTCGCTACCAAGTACCAACTATCATTCTTAGTATCTGTTGAATATTTTGTGCATCAAATATGCGAGTCTTTGCTTAACTTATCCACAAAACAACTTTCAAGCTCCAAAATTCTTAACATCTTACGGTTGGGTTCCATATAGTGTCAATAAGACAACTACGAGAAAAGTGCAGTGTAGTGCAATTGTTCAAATAGTAACGAAAATGTATAAATTCAAACATATATATAAAAGATTAATTACCTACAAGCATTGTCCTTCACCGATCGGTTCAACATAAAAAACCTAAAACAAAACTAATGTGAAATCTAGTTTGGCCAAATAAAAGAATCTATACGGCCCAGTTTTTATCTCAGTAAGTAAGGCAAAGCCCAGCTTAACGTTGGTCTATATGATTACAAACAATGTCACCACCACTATACAACAAAACACACTAATACGGTTTCGTCGGGATATAAACACAGAAAGAGACAGGGAGACCAACATTTTTTGGGCATTTGCTCTCACTGAAAAAGAAAGTATATATGAAATCTAGCCAATAAAAAAAGACAAACAAGAGACCCACCAAACATAATGTGATTTTTTTTGTGAGGTTGTATAATTTTCATAATTACTTGAAGAAAAAAAAAACTAATAATCTTTTCTTCTTTAATAATAACTTACTTGCCATCTTTATGCTCTAAGGTCTCTTTCACCTTTGATATCGAAATCATCAATGTCCTTTTTTTTTTTTGCTGTTTATCATTCAACAAAGTTGTATCCAACAAATATATGTTTAGAATAAAAAGAAATGTTAAAGTACAAATACTTGATTTAACTCTTATAGATTTTGTGTTATTGTGTATACAAAGTTGTATTCAAATCTTCTGTGTTCCCCTAATCCCTTTAAATTTTTTGTTTGCCTCTAAGAACCAACTAATTTAACAACCCATTTCTTGAGTATTAAATTGTTAGTCTTCCTTATTATATTATGGTAGTGTACACTCGAGATTAAATATAGTAGTAGCTAAAGAAATCCAAGAGATTAAATTGATATTAGCTTGCAAGAATTAAATGATGGATTAATCACAACAAAAAGGAGACATTGACACCAACACACCAAAAGTGAGGGAGACAAGATAATTATTTTAAGTGATAAATCATTTTCATTCTTTAATTGTTCTTAACTATCAACATCTTATATAAAAAGGACAAACTGTGTTTAAAAATATAATAATATATAGATTTTAAAATGTCTTCTTTTCAATCAAATTATATATTTTACCAAAGCAAAAAAAAATTTAGTCAAGGATCAACTAATGTATATAACCCAAAAGCCTGAGTAGAGTCATTTTTCTTAATAAAACATTCAACTTACTCCCTTAGATAACAAACTTTTAATATAAAAAATATCTTACTATTCAGACAAATTAATTAGTTTAATTTAGTATGTTATCTTGAAATAACCATTTTAGAGCCTCAATGAAAATACTACCTCAAGAGATAATTCATATCTATTGTTTTTTTTTTAAAAGTTATAAATATATACAGATACCTTTTTCCCCAAAAAAAATCAAACCAAACTCAATACTATTTGTAAAAGAACCAACTTTTTTTTCATTTCTGTCTCTCACCGGAAATATAAAAAAAGTCTCTCTTTTATAGACCTGTCGGAGAAGTACTATGTCTCCGACGAGTGTTCAAATAACTGATTACCATCTCAACCAATCAACGAATGGTACAACTAATCTCTGGTCAAACGACGAAGATGCGTCAGTGATGGAGGCTTTCATCGGCGGCTCTGATCAATCTTCTCTTTTTCCCCCTCCTTCTCCTCCTCTTCCACCTCCGGCGCAATCTCAGTTCAACGAAGATACTCTCCAACAACGGCTCCAAGCTTTAATCGAAGGAGCAAATGAGAGCTGGACTTACGCTGTGTTCTGGCAATCATCTTACGATTTCGCCGGAGAAGACGACGGAGGAGGAGAAAGCAGAAACACGGCGGTGTTAGGTTGGGGAGATGGTTATTACAAAGGAGAAGAAGAGAACTCTAGGAAGAAGAAATCGAACCCAGCTAGTGCAGCTGAGCAAGAGCATCGTAGGAGAGTGATTAGAGAGCTCAACGCTTTGATATCCGGAGGAGGAGGAGTAGTAAACAATGGTGGCGGCTCTGATGAAGCAGGAGATGAAGAAGTTACAGATACTGAATGGTTCTTCTTGGTCTCGATGACACAGAGCTTTGTCAGTGGTACTGGTTTGCCTGGTCAAGCTTTCTCGAATTCGAACACGATTTGGCTATCTGGGTCTAATGCGTTAGCTGGATCGAGTTGTGAGAGAGCTCGTCAAGGTCAGATTTATGGGTTACAGACAATGGTGTGTGTACCATGTGAGAACGGCGTCGTTGAGCTTGGTTCCTCGGAGATTATACATCAAAGCTCAGATCTTGTTGATAAAGTTGACACCTTTTTCAACTTTAACAACGGTGGTGGTGAATCTGGTTCTTGGGCGTTTAATCTGAATCCAGACCAAGGAGAGAACGATCCGGGTTTGTGGATTGGTGAACCTGATAGCGTCGGAGTTGAATTGGGTCTTGTAGCTCCGGTGATGAATAATACTGGTAATAACTCAGCTTCTAATTCTGATTCTCAACCAATTTCAAAGCTTTGCAATGGAAGCTCTGTTGAAGACCCTAAACCTCAGGTTACGAAATCTAGTGAAATGGTGAGTTTCAAGAATGGGACTGATGAGAATGGATTCTCTGGTCAAAGCCGGTTTATGGAAGAAGATAGTAACAAGAAGAGATCTCCTGTTTCGAATAACGATGAAGGAATGCTTTCATTCACCTCTGTTCTTCCACGGCCTGCTAAATCCGGCGACTCAAATCACTCTGATCTTGAAGCTTCAGTGGTTAAAGAAGCGGAGAGTAACAGGACTGTGGTTGAACCGGAGAAGAAACCGAGGAAACGAGGGAGAAAACCGGCAAATGGAAGAGAAGAGCCATTGAATCATGTTGAGGCAGAGAGACAGAGAAGAGAGAAGTTGAATCAGAGATTCTACTCTTTAAGAGCTGTGGTTCCTAATATCTCTAAGATGGATAAAGCTTCTCTCTTAGGAGACGCCATTTCTTATATCAATGAGCTTAAGTCTAAGTTGCAAAAGGTTGAATCTGATAAAGAAGAGTTGCAAAAGCAGATTGAGGGAATGAGCAAAGAGGCAGCAAATGAGAAAAGTTATGTTAAAGAACGGAAATGTGCGAATCAAGAATCAGGTGTGACAATTGAGATGGAGGTAGATGTGAAGATCATTGGTTGGGATGCCATGATACGAGTTCAATGCAGTAAGAGGAATCATCCTGGTGCTAAGTTCATGGAAGCACTCAAGGAACTGGATTTGGAAGTGAATCATGCGAGTTTATCTGTAGTGAATGATCTTATGATCCAACAAGCGACTGTGAAAATGGGGAAAGAGTTTTTTACACAAGATCAGCTCAAGGTTGCTTTAATGGAGAAAGTCGGAGAATGCCTATGAGTTGCATCATTAGTACTAATGAACCCGAGAACAATACTGCAAAAACGATTAAAAGTTGTATTGTAGTGTGTAACTATATTATGTAAGGGTGATTTTGCAGCACCCACTTGTTGTTGTTGTTGGTTGCTTGTACGATAGGGTTCTTAGTTAAGTAGTTTCATGGTTATTAGTAGCTATGATCAGTTTGGGTTTATGGTTTCAGTAGATAAATGTGTTTGGCCAATGGGTAAGTCTATATTTGTTGGTGTATGTATGTAATTATTATGATTTATGAATAAGTGTTTTCTTAGAAATTAAACACATGGGATTGAAGTTGAAGGTTTATTGTTTTTGTCTTCTGAGCAATAATAATAGTTTCGAGTTTTCACTTTCAAGTGAGTTTTTGTGGTTCTAGTTCTATGGTGTTGAAGGTTTTGTATTCATCTCAGCCACATGAGGACAAGTCTATGGTAAGAGTTAGGCATCGAAGGAGGCATCTAATTTGTTAGGTAAGAATATACCCTTTTTATTGTTCGATAAAAGATGATTTGCACCAATCACATCCATCAATGGATTCCAATGTAGGCCTTTTCATTGGGACCTCGAAAGTAACGTGGATGTGACACACTCATATTATTGTTCTAAATAGTGTTCTGAATTTGATGTAGTATACGTATGACCTTCAAAAACATGAATTCATATGTATATGATGCAGCTCTTGCGGTGGATCACTCACGTTTAAGAGTGCCTTTTTGTGGCTTTCAAACCATAACTACTAGTACTACCACATAAAACAACCATTTCGTTATCAAAACATACAATAACACTAATTCCAAAAATTAAGTGGCAAAAGCATCATATTTCTGGCTAGCCATAAACTTCAGAGTAAGTATGTGTATGTGGCATGAAATGAATCATGATGCAGGATATTTGCAATGCCGTAATTGGATTTCTTGATATCGACAGAAGAAGTGAATCCACTAAGCTAGAATATCAATAAGACCAAATGAATTTCAAAACTCAATGCATATATAAAGAGTCCAAAAGGACCAAAACTGTGAAATCAAAATGTAATAAAGGGATATAAAAAAATATAAAACGTCTTAAAAAAAGGGTTATGTAGTGTAGAAGGATGTAGAGGACAAAGTTTTAATAATCATGTATAGTAAGCAGAAAATGGTGGAGACATGCATGTGTGGACGATTATTAAAGCGAATTTGTGTGTTTTAGTTTTCAGCAACATATATAATTGTGTTTATTTCCCTTTTTGAAATAATCTCCTCGGAAATGTATGTGGAGTGAGTGACAGTGTGACAGTGAGAAGAGAACGTGTGACTGAGAAAGAAGAGAGCTGTAATCTGGCCAACAGTATTTGCCAAATAAAACCAAAGAACATGTAATAGTCACACTATAGTTTTGTTTGATAATCCTTTTTCTAGATATATAACTCGAGATTATCAGTACGTATATATACGTTTAACTATGATTTATGAGGGTTTGCTTCAAACTATATATATGTTGACATATTGTATACTTTTAGTAGCAAAGAGTACTGACAGAGTGATTGTGTATGTATCCTTTTGGTTTGCTAAACTTTTCTTTTACCAAATATTGTATATTAGTAAGAATCTTGTTACATGGTTGTCTGTGTCAATACGATTTCTTACATTTTTAACTCGAGGCTCTCCTCCAAAGTGCGTGCGGACTTGGAATTTTATGAACCGATCCATCACCCTTCGTTTTGTACTATACAGTAGTATATTTTAATTAAATAAACAACAATTTTTTTTTTAAGTTTTTCAAAAAATAAAAAAACCATCACTCTTTATTTTTGATGAAAAATTAAAGTCTTTAGTTTTGTTTATAAGAAAGAAGAACTAATAAAGAATTTGGGTTTTCCTACAACCTTTAAACCCATAAAAATTAAAGGAAAAAAAGCCCAAAAGCAAACTATTCAAAGCCATTTTTGCGAGTGCTTCTTATTCTTTTTCCGAAAGGAAGAAATCAATAGTGTAATCGACGCCGAAACCTAATCCATAATTAACGATCATGTTCATACTTCGTAGTATATATAGTAGTATTACACTCAACTACTCAAGTCTTCTCGCATCAACATGTAATGTAACATTACAAATCGAGTGATCTTTGTGTGAGAGAGAACTAAAAAGAACTAGCAAACACGACGACTAAACACACTTCTTGAAGAGAGAGTACAGATATGGGCCGACTTTCTTATAAATATATATGACCCGATCATAACATAAAATCGTATATGAGAACTTTCTTACAAAAATATAACATTGGAGAGTGAGAAAACTCTTCTTCTTATTTTTTGTTTTGTTTTTAACACAAAACCTAAGCACGTTACGTTACGTAAACACATATTTTGGCGGAGTAGTTCTGACTAAACGTCGTCGGAAGCATTGAGAAATATGGTTCTCTGAGATTTTGATAGTTTCGTCCTTTAGCACATATACAATATATATCTGATCTACTTCCTATCCTATAGTGGTCAAAACACCGATGGTTCCAAATATTTCTCGTAGAATGACTAACACCAAATATGTGTGATATACATGTATCCGTAAGAAATCATTTGAGTTATCTACTTTTTCATCTATGGCCTCATTCCTTTGTTATCGTTGTCATACGTAAAAAAATTTAATTTAATTTTTCTTTGTTTAATAGATTTTTTAAAACATTTTCATTTTTTTTTTGTTTTTTAAACGATTTGGAAGATTCAAACGAGTTATCTTTTATATCAAAAGGTTCATTGCAATAAATGGAATGATTTATATCCCTTTTTTATACTAATCAAAAGTTTTATCTAATTTTTGATATGAGATGTTATTTATTAATACGGTCATTCAAAATAAGAACTTTTCTAACCATAAAATCTTAATTTTTCAGATATAAATCAATGAATTAAATATAAGTGTTTTTGAATTGTAAATTAGTTTAAACAACATGTGAATCCGATTTCTATTATTATAGGTATGTTTGTTCGGTCACCACACACGGATGCTGTAAACATATTTTTAGCCGTTAAATTTAACCGACGTTCAAACATTTTAATTGTGGAATATAATGTATGGCACATTAACATGCCGTAAATTTCTCCTACAACAATCAGACGAATAAGAATACATGCATTTCCACAGCTGCGAAACAAACCACACTTATATTATTATTAACTTGTTTGCTTTCTTTGCTAGTGATTTAACAGTTAGAGCATGTCCAATGGTAGTATGTTATTAAAATTTTTTAGTAATTTTTTAATAATAAATGGTGTAATTTTTTTAAATAAGAATTTTTTGAAAATAATTAAAATTATCCACCTCCAATAATAAAACTCTTAATTGGAGTTCTTGAAAAAAAAATTTGAAAATTAAAATTTTATAAACATAAAAATTATTAATTTGTAACACACATAATATAAACATAACTAAAACATAATAAAAACACATGATACAAATCATATTTTAGTTGTTGCCAAAATTTTGCTAAATATTCTTAACCAGATCAGACAAGAGATGAAACTGTTTTGTTGCATGAGAGAACGAGAGAGAGATGGAGAGTTTTTTGCTTTGGTGGGAAAAGATATTTGGTGGGAAAAGAAAGATAATTTCCAAAATACCTCTTTTCAAATACCACTTTTTAAAAATACTCCTTTTCAAACTTTATAAAATCTAATAAAAATCTTTTTAAAACCTTATAAAACTTGTATAAAAGATTTAAAACACTTTAAAACATTATAAAATATCTGTATCGAATCTCTCAGTAGTATTTATTATATAGAAGTATTTTATAAACCATATAAAACTTTATAATTTTTATATTTAAATAATTTTTTTTTCTTAAACTCTCTTGTACCGACACGTGTCCCTAAGAAACTTTCTCAAAACTTCTTATCTAAGAGATATCTCTTAGCTTAATAATGATTTTTGATTTATTTTTTGCACTTTTATTTCTAAGATATTGGCTTAAAAACTTGCATTGGACATGGTATTAAGACTAATATTATTGGAAAGCTCTTAGGATCAAAATAGAGTATATTAACATAGTATTTTATATCTTATATTTCGATTCTAAGAGCTTTTCAATAATGTTGCTCTGATGAACTGTTTTTTTTATAAACCAATTGATTAGGGTTCACCTAAAACTCTATAATTTGAACGTATAATTGTGATTAGTATATAATAATACTATGCAATCAAGATTTAGATCTCGCCGTCGTCGCAAAGCAGAGTAAAGAAATCGAAAAAGAAAGATTTGACGTTAACGATGATAATGATTAAAGTAGGTGAGGAAGTGCTCAAAGAAAAATATCAATCTTCTAATTGGCTCAACCTCCATCATCAAACTTCAAGACTTCAAGTACATTCTCTCTATTTCTTTGATCTTCTTTGCGCAAAATAATAATAATAATAATAATTGTATAGTCTCTTACCTTTATGTCGGCGTTTAATAACAAACCCAAGTTGTGCAACTTGCAATAAAAATAAAAAATGAAACCAAAGCTGGCACACAACTTGCAACACCCCAGCATCATCATCACCTTTGCCTTAACTAGAAGTTCTTGTTTTCTTCAAACTTTTGCAAAATAGTCACAAATGTTTTTTAAATAATCACAAAAAAGAAAGAAAGAAATGACCTTTCGCCATTGTCTCGATCCAGTTGAATTCTATAAGCTATAAATAAATAATGTCGCATCATAATGGATCGCCCACATCAAATTTTTTATAATAATAATAATAATAACTTTTTTGGTTATAAAAAATGATACTATGAGAGATATAAAAAAGTATTCAAGTGGGACAATATAAAATAGCGCCTGACTGACTAATATTGCAAAAAGGTGACAACACCCACCAGAATCTGTATGAAAACGGCACACACTTTTATATCCCCTCTTCTGTTTTTTTTTCCCCCTATAATTTTGTTTTTTTACAATGTTGAGATTTTACGAAAAAAGCTATTACAATTTAAGACAGATCACAGACTAAATCTAACCATACTTAAAAAGCAAAAATAAAATAAAAAATACACGTGAAAAAATCTTACGCCAGTACTTTTTTAACAAAAAAGAAATAAAAAAGTACTAAAAACATATCACGATAAATCTTTATATTTTCTAAATCTCTATTTCTTACTTTTATGAACGTTTTATTTCATTTTTAATATGGTGTGTTCTTTGTTTTTGGATTATGACTTATGAGAGTTTGTTGTTGCAGAGACGAAAATGTTGACTTACACAAAGGAATATACCAAACCAAAATGGAAAGATTCATACTTATCCATTTCCTTTACTCCCCAAAATAACCTTTCATATAAGGACATTTTTGTCTTTTTCAACCTTATCATATGTAAATAGTAATAATATTTCTATCATCATCATCTAGACAAAGCTTTTTTTTTTAAATAGAGAGAATCTTTTTATGAAGCAACAACATAATAAATAACATTTTTTTTTTGTTTTGAAAAAAAGAAAGAAAGAAAGAAAAATAAATAATTTTTATTATTTCTTTTTATATCACGACGTCGTCGTCTTCGTCACCTGAGAAGCACTTCCGGCACCGGAGTTACGAGCCATAGCTTCAGTAACAGTCGCTAGTTTCTGCAAATTAAGCTTGACAACCGTATCAGCAAACATACGCGTATCGTCCTCGGAGTTCCCTTCCGGCATATCCACGACGTACGACTCCAAAACCACCGTCCAGATCCGGTCCTCCTTCTCGAACCGATGCACCGTCGTGACGGATCTGTAATTCGTGAGCCTGTGCTCTCCTCCGATGATGCTGAACCCCGTGACCTTCCTCTCGTCGTCGAGCACGTCTAGCCTCTCCGTCGAAGTGTTCGCCGGCAAACCGCTGATCACGATCACGTCGCGCGTGCATCCGACGCGCATCTCGAAGCCCTGTTCGACGGAGCAGGATTTGATGAAGTGTTTGTAGGTTTGCGGTTTGTCGAATCTCCTGACGATTGACCACACGAGCTCCGGCGGCGCGTGGATTCGTTGCGCGTGGAGTGAGCTGCAGCTCCCTGGTCCGAGTTTGTATGTGTGGAACTCGGCGATTGATTCTTTCAGCTCCGATCGTTCTTCTGGTGTTAGCTCCGAAGGCATCGTGATGAAGTTTTCGTTCTTGCTCTTGTCGCTGTTGTGTGTTTGTGGTGTTTTTTGGAGTTTTTTATCAAATTGGTTTGAGATTCACCATTGACGACAACGACGAGCTTTAGAGAGTCTCTCTCTCTCTGTATTTATCGTTGAAATATTATAACAGAGAGAGTGTGTGAGGGAGAGAGAGAGAGAGGGGAAAATAAAAAAAAAGAGTTGACGTGGAGTCTTCTATTAGTTACTTATTATGATGTGGGAAAAAAATTGGAATCGAGTCGTATAGCTTAATAAGTTTCTTTTTATTCCCAATTTCTTTTTTTGGTATTATTTTTTGTAAATGTCGAATTTTTCTTTGAACTCATATTTGGTGAGAAATTGAAAATCCTATATAAATATTGATGTTTTTGTAAAAAAAAAAAATTTGTTCATATAGAATTTATGTTTGTATTAGTATAATTTAATCTATTTTACTTCATATTGTTTAAATTAATTATATTTTATGTTGTAACGCCTATCTAAAGTTTTTTTAAAATTTATTGATCCAGCTGTCTTACTATATATAATTCGTCTGTCGTTATTCGTTATGTGATATTTTAAGAATTTTGGAAATTTAAATGTATTTTAGAAGTAATATTCTTTCCGTTTCTTTTTTATTTATCGTTATAGAGTTAATATTTTGTTTCTTTTTTATTTGTCGTTATAGAGTTAATATTTTGTTTCATTATAGTTATTGTTTTAGCTTTTCGATGCAAATGTTTGGTAAAATTTTCAGTTTTATCCAACCTGTTTTAAATTAATCAATAAAAAAAGTAGAAAGTATATTAAGAGAGGGTAAAATAGAAAATTTAAATATTTTCTTAATCTGTGTAAAAAATCTTAAATGATGACTAATTTAAAACAGAGAGAGTACTATTTAAAACCGTTTACATGTTTAAAATTTATTTTCGGTATAAATTAACTCGATATATACTTATAAATTTGGATTTGTTAAGTAAGATTCATACTCATGCAGATTAGACTCATTTAGATCTTATTTGTAATATAATCTGAATCATCATATAAAAATTTTAGCTGATTGAACACATATTTTTGTCTTAATTAGTATATCTATATATTTCTATTTTTAAATATGAGTTCTTTTGGAATTTTTAGTCGATTGAGCACACACTGTTTTGGAATAGTGCAAAATTATTTTTGAGAGTTACTAGTACTATATACGAATATAAATATGGATCATTCTCTAAAATACCATTATTTTTGTTTTTAGGACAAAAATACCATAAAACTAAAATTAAATTTTAAATTTTCAAACTCTAAATTCTAAATTATAAACATTAAACCCCATCCCCTAATGACACTTTTGTAATATCTTATCGTAACAAAGATTTATTTCCCAACTGAACTTTCGTTTTTTGTTAACTATGTATTAATTAAAAGGTTAGTAGATGATTGGAAGCCAAATGTTATATATGTCATGATTAATAAAATGTACTTAAAATATTAAACAAAAGATAGTTGTTATGTCTTGGGTAGATTTTATTATTTGATAGGAAAAAAATCAATATTTTTTGAAAAGAGTAAATATTACAAATATGAGACGAAGATCAATATTTCTGAACTTGAGTCTAACTTTTATAGAAGTTATTACGGAAAAGACTCTCTAAAGCTAGCAAACACTAAGGCCTAAGCAAACTACTAGTGGAAATGAATCTTTGAGCATGATGGTAAGAAAGAGAATTCAAAGAAAACACATAAGAGAAAATGTTCCAAAACAAGTCTGACAAGAAAAAGCATGAACAAGTTGTGAAGAAAGAATCTTCAAAACCAAGTTGTCAAAAAATTAAGATACATGAGCAAGACTAGTACTAGAGTCTAGAGATAAACCTCTAAGAATAGGCTGACCGGAACAAAAGTGTCCATGTCCTCCTAACTTGGGGAGGGGTATTGTTGTGTTTGATAGTGATGACATATTTGTCTATTGTTGCCACCTTTATAGATGGCGACATGAATGTTTTGGAGTTTAGAGCTTTACGAAATGATTATTGGCCACCGGGTTTGTCACAAAAAGATATATAAGAGACAAATGTTAGGACTTGGGGTTGGCCTTTTATAACATGAATATGAACCATCGTGTTCGCTATATGTGTAAATCTATATAGTTTCATCTTCTAGCTAGTTGAAGAGGTTCCAAGGATATATATAGTGTCCTAATAAGACGTGAATAAAAGCGAGAACAAGGGTTTGAACAAGGTTAATGCAGCTATACATGTTTATTACCAAATGATCTCCTGATGAATTAATATATAACCTTAATTAAAACACCAAAACATACATGACATAGATGTAGGATCCGAACAAGTTCCAACACCAAACTCCTCTTTCGACTCTTTTATGACACAATTGTAGGATCCGAACAAGTTCCAACACACACCTCCCATCTCTGCATCTCCTCCTTTGCACACTTCCGACCATATCTTTTTTCATAACAAATGTTAAGAACAAGTAGGTAGCTAACACAAAGAGTTGGATACTTCTTTCGACAGCTACTTCTTCCCTCCCTTACATGGTACATAGGGAACGAGTTTATGGCTATATGACAAAGAATGATCCCAGGCAGGCGTGACCTAACAAATTATTTAAATGGGTGCAAAATCACTGAACTGAATTATGCATGGACCTATTAGGCGTGGACCTAAATTTCTATAAAGCACTTCTTCCTAGTTCACGGTTCACCTCCTATCCACTTCATTGCCGCCTTCATAAGTTTGGAAACTGCAAAAAAAAGGTGAATTAAGAGAGCTTTTCAAAAGGAAATCAATAAATTAGTCAACTTACAACTATATCTATAACAGTGTAGTTCAGCTATATTTATCAAATTTAAACCTATAATTAATCCAAAACTAAATAGTACCTATTATAAAGTTATTTAATTAATTCTAAATGAATTGCTTAATAACTTTATTTAATTAACTCAAAATGAATTCATCAATTAACAATTTTATTACAGCTTCTAGCATATTGTGTACAGTGATTAGGCATCGGGCTGGCCCGGCCCGGCCCAAAAGCCGTAAAGCCTTCATAGATTTGAGTCCAGCCCGGCCGGGAAATGATCCGAGCCTATATTTCAAAGTCCGGTCCAGCCCTAACAAAGCTACAAAGTTTTTTGGACTTAAAAGTATATTATAAAAAGAATGTATCAAATTTTAAATAAATTATCGATATTCGTTTAAATTAACTTAAGACCAAATAAATTGTTTACACTTTAACCCAATAAAACATGAAACTAAAATATTTTTAAGTAGATGATAAAGTCAAAATTTAATATATTTCAATGTTTTCAAAATCAAGATACTTATATATTGTTTTTGCTTTATTCAGTTTTGATATATATAGAAAATGTTATAGATAAAGATTTTATATAAGTAAATATGAAAAATAAAATATTAAAAAAATTCAAAATATGTTTGTTTAAGGGCTTTTCGGGCAGGTCTGAGCTCGACCGGGTTAAGTCCATAAAACCCTTTAGCCCGAATGGGCTTTGCCCAAAAAGCACGGATTTTCTTGGACATATATATATATAAGCCCGAGCTGGTATATTTCAGGGCCGGGCCGGATTAGGCCGCGGGCTTTAGCCCTATTGACATGCCTAAGAGTGATACATATCAAAAACTCATGTCGATGTTGACCCGGTTTAGTTTGGAGAAAAATGTCATTTAATTCACAAACTTTCAAATTTACGCCATTTAAATCACAAACATTCTATGTGTCCATTCAAAACATAAACTTATGTTGACTTTGTTTTTAAAACATCATTTTTTGTTGACCAATCCTAAATGAACATCATATTCTCAAATAACAGAACAACTAACAAACATTTAACCATCATTAATCCATCTCTATTAGTAAGAAACGACGTCATTTTATAGATAAAAAAAATCCCCAAATGAAAAATTAGAGATTTGATTTTTGGATCATGATGTTAAGATCACGATTTGGAGATATCGTTTAACCTTAAATGAAGTCGTTTCTCACTAACAAATATGGATTAGTGATAGCTAGCTGCTCTGTAAACGGATTTGAGTATATAATGTTTATTTTAGCTTTGTCAACAAAAAATGATGTTTTAAGAACAAGTCAACGAAAAATTTATGTTTTAAATGACTACATAAAAATTCGTGATTTAAATACTTAAATTTGAAAGTTCGTGAATTAAATGACATTATCCAGTTTTTATTTATCCAGTCAACCATTCATTGAAATTTTCTTTCCTCATCTTTTATCAATATCAATATTATAAATTACCATTTGGATTAACGAGAGTACTTTGACTAACCAAAAAGATTAATGAACTTTACGTTTTTCTTTTTCATAAATTAGTATTGGCTGCGTGTATATTATAACCTAACCACGATCTATAACGGAAACAAATGAGGAAAAAATCAACAAGCTTTGACTTTTCTATTTCCAACCATGTCTCATTTGGTATCTACTTTAAAATTGAGTTAATAACGCTGACTAAAGACTATAATCTTCTTCTTTTTCTTTTTATTTTTTTGGTCAACGGAGACTATAATCTTCTTAATTAAGAGTTTTAAGGATATATATATAACAAGTTGTTCTGCAAAGCAGAATGTGATCAAAACAATAAGCTATGGCTTTCTACTGGTTATTATGTCTCTTCATTTGTTTTTTTTCTTATTATATCTCTCCATCAGTTCAGGTAGTCATACAATAACAAAACTTAATTATTACATTATTTGTTTGTATATATATACCGATATACGTCGACTCATATATCTAATGTTTATGACAGAGAGAACTAGAATATGAGTGTGTTGACATCTATAAGCAACCTGCATTTCAACATCCATCGATGAAGGATCACCAAATCCAGGTATATATATGTTTCATGATCGTTATAAAGTTGAGTTTATCAATATACAGTTTATGTATGTAACGTATAACCATGGAAATATTTCACATCAAGATTTATTTCTCAAATGTTTTGTTTGTATAAATCGTATAGATGAGACCAAGTGCCGAGTTCCTAGCCATGCTATCGATGGAGCCGGAACCGGAAGTAGCAGATCTGGTCAGTGGTACATCTGAAGAACGTTGTCCTAAAGGACAAGTACCGATTCACAGACCGCAGATTAACTATACTAATAATTTTATCCATCCGGAGAAAATTATTTCAGAAGCCAACCTACATGTAAGTATATCTTAACCACGACATTAACCTACAGTTATTAATATTATTTTTTTAAATAATGTAATAACATGAGAAACTATTTTTGGTTAGTATGCAATTATTAAACCATTTGACAATGACACAACGACATATGGTGGAGCATCAGCACTTTTCAATATTTACAAACCAAGAGTATTGCCAAATCAGTTTAGCAAAGCTTGGGTTTGGCTAAATCACAGAGAAAATGATACGATAAGCAGCATCCAATTCGGTTGGGCTGTAAGTATACTACAAAATGTAGCTAGAGCTGTCCATTAAAATCATCATATATGTTGAGTTATGAACTTATAAGCTATCGCACATGCAATTGATTTTGTCTTTTAGGTGCATACAGGATTGTACGCAGATGATCGTCCACGGCTAACAACATTCTGGATAGTAAGTAACGTTACACTTTATATATTAATCCAATTCTCAACCTTGATATGACTTCAAATATCTTTGGTTTTGATGTGTTCATAACTAAATAAGTATACATTAATTAACTAGATTTTTAATTTTAACAGTCAAATAGACACCAAACCGGATGCTACAACGCGATGTGTCGAGGGGGATATGTCCAAGTCCATAAAACAATCTACCCTGGAATGGTTTATGATAAAGTTAGTGTCATAAACAAAAAACAGTACGCTACTCATCTTCTTGTCGGTCAGGTAAGAGAAACACATGAAAGTATAAATATATCTTAGTTCTATTCAAGTATTTAGCAAGTAATACTAAGAACATATATATGTACAAATCATACAGGATACCAAAACAAAAAACTGGTTGTTGATGACGAAAAAGACCTTGATAGGCTATTGGCAGTCTCATATTTATTCGATGGAAAGAGTATCAAAAATTTACTTCGGTGGGTATGCAGGAGGGCCATATGGAGCTACCAGCCCTCCAATGGGGTCAGGGTTTTTACCGAGACAAGTAGGGTTCCGAGACTATTTAGGATGTTACATGAAACAACTTAAGATTTTCTTTGATGATGGATTGTACGATATTGACTCGAATTCGTTTGAGGAATATGTGAATAGTCCAAAGTGTTACGATGTATGGTTTCGTAAGTTTGAACTAGGCAGTGGAGAGATGCTCACGTTCGGTGGACCTGGTGGGCAGTGTGGTATGACCACCTAATCGATGGTTACGTTGTTGTTGTTCATCTTTCATTTTTTAATTATTTCATTACAATAATGCCCTATTATCAACTCTAATTTGATATATTAAGAACAAATCTTTTTTTTATTCGAGAAACTTTATAAATGTGAGCTACATTAATCTCTTAATTAAATATAACTTTAATCCATTTGTTCTAAAATTCCAAGTTCTTTTTATTGTACAGCTTAGTAAAGTCTAACTAATAAACAGCGATGAGAAACAAAAACATTGGTAATAACTCCGGACTTCTTAAGTATAGTTATGTTTTAATTCTTCTTATATTTCAATTCTTCAGTATTGAGCCAATTCGCTAACTAGCTTTAGTCTTCAAGCTCTCGTGTATCCTTTGTCGAACAATTTTAGTAATCTTAGTGTAACATTTGCTATTAACCTTTTATGTTGTTTCTGTTTTGTATCAAGCCATATTATCCTTGTATCATTGGCTACTTTAAACCTTGTTTGATTTAATGAATGAAAACAAATATTTTCTCAAAAGAAAAAAAAGTGTTGGAAATATTGCAAATAAAAAGAAGAAACTATAGAAAATTATTGTATAATTTCTAGATTAAAAAGTTTATGAATGTTAATCTTCAACGAATGAGAAAACATTTATTTTCTTGAAGACAAAACCCATCCTTTTATAACAAGACAAAACACATTTTAAGAAAATAACAAAACGAATCACATGTTTTAATTTTGTTATTAAAACATGTCTTCGAATCACATGTTTCTTTATTTATTAGTACAGAATATATTTTTTGATTCGATATGTGTAGAGAATTTTGTATCCACCTGAAGTCTCTTTGCACATTGAGATTGGAAATGACTTGAAGATTCTGCTTCAGAAGATGAAGCATGACCTAACTTATGTCGCATATCTATGCCATGATCATTTGTGTTCAGATTTATGTCATGGTCTTCGTTCAACTCTGTGAGAAGGTTTCTGTTTACATCTATACCAAGAATTTCACCTGCTAGTTCTATGTTAAGATCCACGTTCAAGTCAAAATCTGCGATTTCATTATTCAAGAAATTAGCTCGTCTTTGAGGTGATCTCTTTTCTGTAATCTGCAAAAGAAACAAAACACAAGAGTGGTTTTTGTTTTTAGTTGCCAATAGTTTTAGAATTTTGTCTTATAAAACTTGAGTGAACTTTTTATATGTAGAACTTTGCTTTTAGGGTTAGATTATAACTGCATTTTTTTTTCATGGATTACCTCTGAAACATCAATAACAGATTCTAGTTTCCTTTTCTTAGAACTTGTTTCTTCAATTTTTTCTTCCTTTTGCATTCCATCAATCTCTTCAACGCAGTCATAGCAAAACCAATTATTAAGATTCATATCTACCTTTTCCATCATGCAATAGCTACAATAACCAAAAAAAAAAAGAAAAAAATTGATAAATGATACTCAAATGAAAACATTTCTATTATGTAATTGCATGGTTAGAAAAATACGAATATTCTTGGGGGAAAAATATATTACGTATGTTCAGCACCAACTTTGCAGTTGGAACAAGTCACAAGTGAATATTTATATCCTTGATTACCACATGTATCACAAATAGTTACCTGCAAAATAATCATTGTTATGATCATGTCGATAACATGAATATATAAGATAAGGTTTAACAAATTAACTTAAGAGAAAATAATTACGTACTTCTGCCTCAACATGAGACGATTCATTGTTACCATCGAGGATTCTAGTTTCTTCAACTCTTTTATTTTCAATATCATCACCATCAAGCTGCACATACGATTTTATTTGTGCATCATTCTAACCCCTTATCAGTTTCATTTTTCTATGAAAAATTAAAGAAACATTCGTCTACATCTATGATGACAGAAACAGAGAATATATATTAAACCTTCGCTAAAGCATTTACTTGTGAGGAAGATATTTCTGTAAAATCATATTCTCTTAAGTCATGTGTGTTTTTGGAGGAAGATCATACCTGTGTAATCTCTTTAGAAACCACAATATGATCATTCTCATGAGTGTTTGAAACCATAGTTGATGGTATATATGTTGTGCCTCAACAAATCTATTGGAGTCCAAATCCTTGAATCATATTTTAAAAATAAAATAATTATCCATTAATGAATCTCAAACACCAATAAATGAACCACAGTTTAATACCAAATTCATCGTAAGTACTACAAATTTAATTGATAATTGTGAATTTTAACTATGAAAGAACAAAAACAAGTATTCAACACAATTGAAGGAGAGAAAAAATAAGAAGAATAATTCTCTTTTGATTCAAACAAAGTGATCAATCTTTGCAAATCTATATTTTACCCCTCAAGATAATCAAATCGTAAGATTATAAATAAAATTGGAAAGACAACATATCCTAATCTCCTCCAGTATAAAAACATATTTTAATAAAAATTAAAATTAAAAAACAATAATTTTTGGAGATTTGATATACTCTTCACTTGATGCAAAGAAAAATCCAAATCAAAGTGAAGACAAATTGATGAATTTGGAAGAATACTTACCGATGATACAAAACCAAATTGAAAGTATGAGGAAACGAGGAAGAAGATAAACCATATTTAAAGACCAAAGTTAGAGTCAATCTATCAATTATTTTCCTTGTTATACTAGTATCTTGTCTTATTTTCTTTATTTGCAAGTAAAGCAATTTGATAATTGTCTAGTTTCGATTATCTATTTTAGGCAGTGTATTTAGTTGTATTTACTTCTCTTTTTTTACCTTTTCATTTATAATTTTATTTAATAAAATTTATACCAAATTTGCTTGTTTAGATTTTAAATATACTTTGATTTAAGGCCCTATCTTTTTTTTTTATGTGTTTGTGATAAAGTACGTAATTAAATTGATGAATTTTGTATTTGCATGTGTAACCTAACATATGTACATCTTTTAACAACTTATGTAAAATAATTTACACATACCTTGTAAAGCCACAAGTATATTCCATACTTATTATTTAGCTCTATAAAAGCAAATCTTGTTGAATCATGAAAGATTATTATTCTCGACAGATGTCGAGATCAAATTTTACTATTGTTTACGATATTTTTTATATATATAAAAGCATACTAAATCATGATAGGAATAAATGGAAATTGTATAAGTAAGACAAATCATTATTATTGTAGTAGATGCAACAAACATGTGTTTCAAATTGTTTTTTTTTTTTCCTTCCAATAACTTTATTAGAATTAAGGTCCACAATCGTTGTTTACAGCAGATAGTAAAAAGGCAGGACATGAATGATACAATTTAAAGTGATGACTATTATTGAGAGCTTGTTTTGCAAGTATATCAGCACATGAGTTCTGCTCTCGATGACGAAAAGAAAAGCGAATGTCGGTGAACATTGATCGCCATTGTTGTATCGTGTTCAAGTAGTGAAGCCGTGGAGTAGCTTCGCGGCTTTGTAAGAGTTGAGTGATTGTTAGATTATCCCCTTCAAAGTCAATTCTACGATAACCATTAGCCCATGTTGCTTGGATCGCCCATAAGAGTGCTGTACATTCGGCCTCCGCAGGTGTAGCACGTCCTTGAAATCGTCCCATTCCACCATGTAAGAAAATACCGGTCGAATTCCTTATTATCCAACCGAGGCCAGAATCTCTGTTTCCCTCATGATGAGAAGCATCATAATTACACTTAACCCATCCCCCCTCTAGTTTCTTCCATTTAGCATGTCTTGTTTGTCGTTGACATTGCGGTTGTAGCCCTTGGTTATGACTATCCAGTATTCAGTATGTGTTTCAAATTGTTATAAAGGTATATCAGTATTCAGTATAGTGTATGTTAAGTTCTTACAATGGAGGTTTACGAGAATCGTTTAAACGAAATATTTCTTTCTACCGGAAAAAAATACAGAAAATGAAAGATTTCATATTAATATAGTTTTAATCACTTATGATGAATTTATTGTTGTCAAATTGATATCATAGTGGGTTTATACATTTCCATAGATTAATTTTTATGTATGCAAATTGGTATTCCCCTTTCTTCTACATCACCGAAACTTACATGCAACAAAGCAAAATCATGATTCATATAACCATTTTTTTTTGTGTTTTGTTGATTTTTCTTTTACGTGTATGTTAAATTCTGACATGGTCTCATTCAAATGCTAAGATATCAAGCCCATTAACAGCCCAACAACGAATGGTTAACGTGTAGACATGCAAAGTACAAATCAAAATCAATGATGAAGGTACGTACTCAACTTCAATTACTCTTCTTTGTCAATTTAAGTGGTCTCTATTACTAAACTCCTCACAGCCGTTAGATTAACTCTGTATCTCTCATCCAACGGCCCATATCTATCCACTTCTGTTCATGTATATATCACAAAACGCACGGTCACCGTTTATTTCTCTCTTTTCTCTCTCTAAATGAAGAAGAGGATCTCTCCGGCGAAATTACCGGCGTTATTCCGATAACTTTCGCCTGAGAGCTGTCGCATGTTATAAATGGGTCTTCCTTTGTTGTCCTGTAGTACCACAAGAGTTACTCTCTCTTCTTCTTCGTCTTCATCTTCGTCTTGGTGTACTAGTGGAAGCGGTGGGTTTAGGAGTAGTAATTGTAGTTCTAAGCTTTTCGATTCTCCGGCGAGTTCGAGATCGGATTCGCAGAAACGTAGAGGGAAGAGAATTTCACGGTTGAATGGTCTTTCGCTAGAGAAATCGAGGTCTATCAAAGCGTCGTCGACGTCTTCGTCATCCGCTGGACAGAGCAGCGGTGAAGTGATCGACGACGGAGATGCGACGGCGCGTGGTTTAGCTGTTACTTCTGGAGATGTAACGTCGGTGGGAAGTTTCAGTAGCGGCGAATTTGTTGGTGGTGGTGGTGGTGGTTTAGCTGGACCTTCCGGTGAGGTTACTTCTGTCGGCGAATTTGTTGGAGGAAACGGCGGAGATTTCAAAGCTTGGGATAAGATCGGTGCTATTGTTAAGTTGAGTTATGGAATCGGTGAGTCATGAGTTGATTGAGCAATTTTGGAAAAAAATGTTTCCTTTATGAATTTCAAAGTTGAAACTTTATTAAAAACTGAAACTTTTGGGATTGTGGTTTTGCTAATTTGGGGAAAAACAGGAATATACTGTGGAATGGCTGTAGCAGGGAGATTCATATGTGAAGTAGCTGGAATTGATTACACAGGAGGTTTTAATGCTTCTTTAGATGCAATTATTGCTGGACTTGGTTATGCTTCTCCTCCAATTATGGCTCTTCTCTTCATTCTTGATGTAAGTTTAGGGATAAGGGATCTCTCTTTACTGGTTATGAAGCTGCTTTGGTGTTTATGGAAAAAAAATTTGATTGTTTTCTGCTCTCTTTCGGGTTTAGGATGAAGTTGTGAAATTTTCCCCGCACGCTCGTGCCATTAGAGATGTTGAAGATGAGGAGCTTCGGGGCTTCTTTCATGGAATGTCAGCTTGGCAGGTCAAGAACATTAGCAGAATCTTTTCAACTTCAAGCTTGTTTTTTTTTTGAATCTTTGAGAAAGAATGAACAAGTACTAACCTTGAGCTTTTTCTTGAATCTTTCTTCAGTTTATCCTAGTAGTTACTGCAAGTTCAATTGGAGAAGAGCTCTTCTATCGCGCTGCGTTTCAGGTTCCGTGCCTTATAGTAATATTCTTCAGTTGTTCTTGTTCCTCGAGTTTCTGTTTTTGGTGTGTGAAGTTTGCTCATTTTCGGTGTTGGTTTATTGCAGGGTGCACTAGCTGACATATTCTTAAGAGGCACAAATCTCATCTCAGATTCTCGGGGGATGGTCGCTTTGGTAATCTTTCTGTTATTACTCTTTTCGTTTCTGTTCCTTAGACTCGGAACTTTAGATTGACTTCATATTGTTAAAATCTACAGACTGGACTCTTGCCACCATTTGTACCGTTTGCTCAAGCATTTGCAGCAACTATTACAGCTGCTCTCACCGGTTCTCTCTATTACATGGCTGCTTCCCCTAAAGGTTCCCCTGAAATCTCAAAACACTTACATATGTTACAAGACCATTAACTTGACTAACTTTGTTTCTTTATTTCTCTTAGATCCAACTTATATAATGGCACCGGTCTTGAAAACTCACTCTGCCCGGGAAGAGCTGAAGAAGTTATTTGCAGGTACTTAAACTTGGTAAAGCATAAGGGTTTAGATATGTTTCATAATCTAACACTTGAAAGTATTCTCCATGTTCCTTTTTGCAGCTTGGTACGAGCGAAGACAGATGAAGAAAATTTACTCTCCACTGCTCGAAGGGCTTTTGGGTCTATACCTCGGCTTTGAATGGATTCAGGTTTTACTTATTCTATTCAGGCATTCCTTTTTCCCCACTTGACAACGTAATTTTGCTGAATACAAACTAATAACATTGCAGACAAACAATCTTCTTGCTCCTATCATCACACATGGTATATACTCGGCTGTTGTATTGGGGAATGGTCTCTGGAAATTACACCATCATCAGCAAAGACTCCGGTTACGTGTTCAGCAACTTGAAACTGAAGGCGACAATTCAAGATAGATAAATAACTGAACAAACTTTTCCTTTGTTTGTAATTTTGTAAAGTGTCTTATGTATTGAGCCACCGTTGACTTGTACAAATAGATAGAAGCAAAGTGTATAGAACCAATAGTTAATACATAATAAGAGAGTAGCTAGCTATGTGAAGCTTTTATTTTAAGATCTTCTATCTGATGTTAGTCTTGATCAAGTTGAGAAATGATCCTAACGAAGACATCAAAGCCTTGGCACATGTCTGTAAGAAGGCAGTATTCGTTCTTTGCATGATATGTAGCCATGAGACCTGCAGGCAAATTTAAAAGTGATGAGGATAAAATATGAGGAAATTCTATAAGAGAGACTCTTGAGAGGATTTTGTAATACCGTATCCTGAAGTTTGCACATCGAAACCTTCATCCTACAAACCAAGACCATAATTCATTAATTTAGAAAGATTAAGTTGCAGAGAACTCTGAAAGATCATTAGTCTGCAGTCTAATTACTTAGTTAGGTTAGGGTTGTTTTAACTTCCAATGGATTACCTTGAGGTCTCGGATTAGAGGCAAAGTACCGGTGATCGAGTAAGGTTTCACGTGTCCAACAACTTCTTCAGTTGCTTTGCATAGAACGTGAAAGCCAGGGGAATCAAGATTACACGCAACTCCAGCTGACGCTTCATCAAAGCTTAACATGAGCCTGCAAGAGACAAGACTTTGAAGATTTTGGTTGGGACCATATTAGAGAAGAATAAGGCGAAGAAGAAAGTTCAAACCTTCCTCGTAAATTCTCATCTGGTAAGACATATTTTGAAACAGGACCACGGGTTTCGAGCTTCTCTATGTTACTGTTTATGTCGTCAACATACTCTTGCAGCTTCGTCATCACTTCCTTAACGCTGCAACAACCAAAAAACTATTTAAGTGTGTCTAAATGCATTGAGAAACGATTAAGGGTGAATTGTGAGGAGACTTACTCATAGAAAGGAGTTAATCTGAAATTAAAAAAGAACAGAGAAGAATAGTAAGTAAAACACAATAAGACATCTTGATTTTATGGTATTTACAACTTTAGAAACATAACCTGACATCACCGGAAACAGTACATTCCCCAGGGATTTGATTGATTCCACCTGCTGGATCTGCGAAACCAAACAATTTTATGGAGTAAGTAGACAATATATAAAGTCATTAGGCATACATTATGCTTTAGATTCCTCAACTTACAAGACCACTGCGTTGGCTTCATGGTGGATGGTGTTGCAAAACCATAAACATCCTCTTGTGGATGAGGCGGAAAGTCTCTGTAGAACCGGGTTTGGATTTCCTTAAGCCCTTCCATTGCTAACTCCAAAGCGTTAATCGCCTTCATATAAAGAGAAGAAAACAATCAATGCCGAGGTTGCAATTTCATCAATCTGACTAACCATTCATATAGAAAATACCTTGTGAGCTAAACCGCTATGGAAAAGCTTTCCTGTAACATGAAGCTTCCACGGAATCATACCGCCAGTTCCAACACACGGCTGCTTATCCGCCGTATCAATCCAAAACCTTCATAAGAATACACACATCAATAAGCTTCATTCATCCTCTCCAATGTTTTACCCCAAAAGATGATCAAGAAAAATGGAAACTAACAAGGGTCCGGATTTGAGCTTATCAAGAAGTTTGTCTTTAACCAGCATGTCCACACCAACACCTGGAATGGAAGAGTTCTCCTCGCTGGCGATGAAAACCGCCACTACAGTTGATTTCAACGCCGGTTTGGTTTGCCCGAGTCTCTTCATGAGTTCAGAGACAAGAGCAACATGACCAAGACAATCTGTAGTCCCTCTACCACGAAGCTTATCACCATCTATGCTTAGAGAGAAAGGATCAAATTCCTAAGAACAAAAAACAAGAGTCAAACAGAGACACTCATCATAGTGTACTCCTTCACAAATTCGAATCAATTGAACAACAAAATCAAAAATCTCAATAAATCAAGTTCAGAGTAGTTGAAATTCATAAACTTATTAAGCCCTAGAGTACACAAAACAGAGAAAGGTTTGATATTTGGAACAATTCACATCAGTTCTTCATAACCCAGTATCAGATTTTGCCCTAATTCTAATGGGCACCAATCAAAACCACGAGAAGAAGAGTTCAATCGAGATTACCCAGTCATCGGGATTGGCAGTGACGACGTCCATATGCATACCGACGAAAGATAAGATCTTTCCGGGAACAGATCCTGGGTACTCCACGATGAGATTACCTCTCCCAGAGTGATACGCCACATGATTGATCACCAGAGGACCACCACCACTTTCTGTGCTGTAAGGACGGAGAGAGTCGAGGACGTGGTTCACGATTAGATCCTCTTGAGGGATGAGCTCCGGCGGATTGTTCTGGACCAACTTTGATTCGCCGATGAGTTTCGATAGGAGAGAAACGTATGAGTCTTTGTCAAGAGAGCCTAAGGATTCGATCAGTGCTTTAGAAGACGAAGCCATCGCTGCACCAAAAATGTGTTTATTCTTTTGTGTTGAGGGGTTTGACAAATCAGATAAGCTTCGGTTTGATTGTTGCGTGAGCCTCGCTCGTGTTTGTCCAAGGTTTTACTTTGGACCCTTTTTTTTTTTTTATGTGGAGTGTTACGTTATTACACTCTGTATGCGTAATAACTAAATTAAATTTTATACGAAAGAGAATAAATTAATTTAAGTATAGTATACGATGCAATGATGTTAAGCAAATCTTAAGACTTCATGATTACCAATGCTATACTCTTCCTTTTATTTGGGTTCCAAAATATGTGTATAAATTCTTTGGTTTAGGGTCTATTGCAGCTCACACACACAACATCAACTGGCCAAGCATAAGTAAAACTTCGAATTATTTTTACTAATGTACATATGATTGACATTCTCATATACAAACCACATTTTAAGATCATATCTTACATAGCCGGACATGTTAGGTTAGCAAAAAGGATGCAATGCAACGCGTCGCTACTATGTTTGTTTGTCTCTAGCTAGCTAGCTAGAAATCAACTGTAATATATTATACTAGTCGGTTGTCCGCGCTACGCGCGAGAGTTTATTATATTGTTTATGAATAATTGGTTCGTATTTTATTTCCTACTTATTTTTTTCACTATACCATACTTTACTTTTTAAAACTTAAATTGTGTTTGTATAGAAAAACTATTGAGTTTTAGCTTCATTAGTCGTTGAGAAATTAAGTGTGTATAGTATAAGTCAAAGTGTGGGTGTAAATGGAAGTGCGGTTGAGAATCATTGAGAAACGTGTGCTATTAGGGTTTTTACCAAATATAGATCTAGATGTTAATATTTGAGCCCTTTTATATGTTGGCATGAAATTTGAACATGATTTGTGGGTTTCGGGCGAATTGTTGTATTTTTAATTGTTTACATTATATCTTTCTATATTGTCATAATTTATTATTTTTTGTTTTACGTTTTCCTTTTTTTTTGGATTTGTCGAACTTTATATCTCGTAATGATCATTTATATACTATTATATATTTTTCTGATTTTATGTTTTTTTTTTTCATATGGAACAATTTTTAAATTTAACATATTAGTATAGTTTACTTTATATTTAGTTTATTTCATTTAATAATGTTTTATTTTAATTTTCAATTTTATGAAATATAGTTAATTTTTTATTTTTTATTAGTTTAACATATGTGTTGTATTGGAAACAAATAGTTAAATTCATATTGGAAACTTTTAAAGAGATATTATTTTTATTTTTACCTTTTTATATGTTTTTAAAAAATAGAATTCATGTTTCGGCCTGACCTATCTCACTTATGTTAGAAAATTTTTTGAGACATAAATTAGATATATTTATATTCTCAAAATTTCTTACTTTTTGTTTTATTCCCGTTAAATCCCATTATTTAGGTTTTCATTGTGTAAATATAATCATATATATATTTTAAATATTCACTAAAAACTATAATCTATTATTTATATATTTGTTAGTATAATCAATAATTAGTAAGTTTTTTAACTCTTAATCAATTATTTTTTTTACTTTTATAATGTATAATATAAAAAAAGACCTTTCATATTCATTTTGGAAAAACTTATTTACATAGGTTTAAATATTACAATTAAATGATAAAATGATATAATTAATTTTAAAGATTAAATAATAAAATAAGGTGAATGATGATGTGGCTTAAGGAGAAGAGAGAAAAAGTTAACTTTATATATATATACTCTCTCCGTTTCATAAAGGATGATATTGGCTTTTAATTAAATAATATTTTTTTGGTGAGAGAAACAAAGTTTTTTAAAATAATCATGATTGTTTCTTAATTTACGGAAAATCTCATAAACATCAATCTTTTAGAAACAGAGGGAGTATATCTTTAGCCAAAGTGCATTTCAGGTTAGTTCATTTAAATGAAGTTGGCAATTAAAAACAAAAAAAAAACAAAAATTATAAACTTTTTGTTACATGTATACGTAACAGAATCAAACAAACAGAAAAGAGGGTTTTGTGATACAATGTAAACTAAGAAGAGTTCGCCATATAATGAAGATTCAAATATAAACTATGCATTTCACCAAACCAACATCATGAAATTGTGACTTTATACAATATATCGAGGGAGGAAAACGTTAAAACCAAAGTTGAAGAAGATTACTTGACTGCAAGAGACTTGGATTGCTTAAAACAACACGTTCTATCACATGACCATGGTTACAAGAATATCTTTAATTCTATGGATGTTGTGTGCATATGGTAATGCTTATCTTTCTTACGCTATAGCTCATAAGTCATAAGTATTAAGTAGTAACCTACCAACTAAGATGTGTTGCAAACTTGCAATATAGTGTCATTGTTGCAAGGCTTGCATTTAAATCCAATGGTCCTACGAAGCATGGAGTGTAATAAATGACCAGTTTTTATCGCTACGTAATTACAAATAGTTGATAAGTAGGTGCATAAGAATAAGATATGGTCACGTGTGTTTCCGCTCTCATGTTGCCAAGAAGACAAATTGTTGTAGTGGTGATTCACCACGGGGTTAGACGACCACGAATACGATCAATTCCGATTAACTTGCAAATTAAATTTATGAAAATACATTTTGGGATAGCAACACGGTGCCAAACTTGATATATATATGTAGCATGTAAAAAAGTAAAGTGAACAAACATTTAATACTTTCAAAATTATTACAATCACACAACCAACTATCAAAGTCTATCTTCTTAGTCACAGAACAAAACGGAGAAGATGGAATAATATATTAATCATGAAAGTGTTGGAGCTTAACCTTTCCATGAAGCTAAGTACTATTCACCATTCTGTTTGTAGTTGCCAACATTTCTTGATATAATGGATCCACTATAAATAGAAGACACCAAAAGGTCCGTCGAAAGAGATATCTCCGGCTTTACCCAAATAGACTCTTCTCAGAGGAATAATCATTAGGAACAACTTTATACCACATGTGAGGTTCCATGAGACAAACTACGAACATATTAACCAATTAATTACTATACAATTTTTTAGATTTTTTTTATTTCCTCTCAGTATTAATTTAATGTTATTTTAATTAAATGAAAACCATGATTTTACTTTATTGTGGATAAGTTGTGAAATAGACATTATGAACAGATAATATTGGTAAGAGTTAGATTACGACAGAATGATAGTAATAATTTCAGAACTATTGATTCCAACTTCAAATGGCTCATACGTACGTCATATATATATCCTTTGTCGAAAATAATAACCAAAGTTTATTTCTACTTGTGAAAACAAAGGTGAAAGAGACAATGGATGATCGATATTGGGATTCGAACCATGCTGAGCAGAAGAAGACAGCATACTCAAAAGAATCCTATCTCACTGATTCAGTGGACTGTTCCTCTCACAGATACCAAATCCCTAAATCTCTTTTTTTAATTTTCATTTGGTCTTAAGCATCAAACATTTGTAATTTATTTGCATACCAACAAAATTCATATCTCAGTTTTGCTTTTACGGACACGAATCTTGGTCGGTATATCTCTGTCCTCTTCGGTTTGTCTTGCTTCATCTTTAAAGTAAAAACAAGTAAATATAACATTTTTATCCAAAAAATGTAAATATAACATTTTCTTTCTTTGCAACCCTAATAACTGTTGATAAATGAGGAAAAAAATGAACTGTTGATAAATGATAGATGAACCCAAGTAACCTAGTAATGAAGGTTTTAAATCTTCATTGGATCTCTTGGTGAAGTTTTTTCCCCCTCTTTAAGTGAAACTAATTAGGAAAGTTAGAAAGAAAACAATTCGGGTAAATATCAGAACTGAATCATACGTCGTAGAAATATGTTATATGTCGAAGACAATTACAAAGTTTGATGCTAGCTAGAGAAGGTGGGGGAGCGGGGACCAAAACAAGCTAGAAGGAACAACATAACTCTAAATTGCCTTAGCTAGCTTTAAATGTTTTTGGATTTCACATGTGGGGGTCCAAGACAAGATAATGTCAAATTCATTTCGTGTTTTTTTAATACAAGTTATGGTAGTTGTACTAATATATATTCGGGTTATAATTTAACATAAAAGAGAGAGAGTAATATATATTGTGGAGACAGAAATAGATCTGAGTAAAGAAGAAACATGCAACGAATTAAAAAGAGCTCACATGCCTTCTCTATCTCTTCTTCCATTTCCAGGTGGTCCTCAAAATCTTCTTCCATTTTTTGGATTCCAATTCCCTTTACCCTAATTTTAGATCCTCTCTATTTATTATCGTCACGTTCTTTGTTCCACGTACGTTTCTTTTTTAATTAGATTTAATTGATGAGAGTACTTATATATATAGAACCAACATAAAAAATTTACATATGGGAAAGATGAGCGACTGAGAGAGCTACTTAATTAGTTAATCAAGCTTTTGAATTGCTTTCTATTTATCGTTAAGCTTCTTTGTTCTTCAATCATTAATTATAGTATATATATAAGAGTTAACCAAAAAAAAAAACATAAAGTGTACGTTTAAAATGATGTGTTGCAATTATACTACTGGTTGCATATGTAAAACGCATCAAAATTTATCATAATTCTAATTGTTATATTATATTATTCTAACTTCATTTTTATCTTACATCGTGAATAATAAAATGCACTAGTTAAAATTCACGTTGCTAAAATAGATTAGAGATTATTGTAGTTATATTAGCTATAGAGAACTTTATTTATACACAGAAAAACAAGAATTTCTGCCAAATTATCTGCCATAACTGATACCCTTTAGAAAATAATATATGATAAGATCCATAAATCGTTTTAAATATATAATAAAATATTTAATCCGAAACTAAATTAAAGTAATGCACGTACAAGCTAGTTTACGTGCTACACATGGAGTATACATATAACAAATCTCATGGAGCTAAACTCATTTCCATATATCGATATATATCTGCAACATTCAAGTACTTCAAAACCCTAAAGCATATAGAAATGGTACGAAAAAATTTCTTCATTGAAATAAATGGACAAAAACATATTGGCATCTTAATATATTTTGTTGAGAACGGTATATTGTTT